ACACTTCCAATGCGTCGAACAATACCAAAGTCCCGCAAGATGGGAAGAAGTGTAATGAACTGTTCCTCTCCCGAATGGTTCGCCACCGGCCGAAGTGCAAGGAGAGCTTTCCGTCGTGTTTCTTGTGCATGGTCGACAAAGTGGGAGCAAACTCCTAGAAGAAGGAGCCGATTGGGGGATGTCCAAATGTCAAGCGAGAGGTGAACTTTGGATTTTGCTGACTGGAGCTTCATTCGCACTACATCCTTGGCCCACTGGAAATGATTGTCAATGATTCGTGGAATCGTCGAGTGAGCGGAAGGGAGATGGTCCTTCGCGACCGGGTTCAAGGTAGAAATGAAGAGGTGAAATTCACGAGATTCGACAATTCTATAAGGAAGGTTTCGTGAGACGATCAACCAAGCTAATGCTTTGCTGATCTTGTCTTGGTCGAGGTAGCGTTTGAAGACCTCCGACTCAATCTCCGATGTGCGGCCCAAGTCCCGTGCTTGCTGGTAGAGTTGCTCAAACCCCTCAAAGATGGATGATTGAAGTGGGGTCAAATCTTCCACTACCCGAATGTCGTGCTTACCCTCAAGATGTTTGCGAAAGTTGGTGGTAACTGAAGTGCTATACGGGTTCTTCTGGGGACAATGACGGCAATAGAGTAGGCGATTCCGACCCTTAAACTCTTCCTCGCCTTCTGCAGCCATACGAGCATGTTTCCAAGTTGCAACGGCGGCTTTGCCTCGTGTATTGCGAGACCTAGGCGTCGAAGAGTCCGACAAAATGGATTCAGAATCGAAGAAGGATAACACACTTTCAGAATCCATAGCTCGTCATGGACTCGTCCGGTGGGTGAAGTGAGTTGGTGAGGAAAGTAATTTACGTTTGTGTGGGTCGAGTGGGGTTCAAGGCCCTCAGGCCCCTGGACTATGGCCCTGTCGGGGCCCCGGTCAGTGGCGTCGTTCGGCCAATTATTGAATGAGTATTGAAATACTATGGATCCATGTCCATACCCTGTCCATGCAATAGTATGGAAAGGGTATTTCCATACTTGGGTATGGAAAACCACCCTGCGGCCTACCAGCGGATCGCTCGGATGCTGCAGGAACCAAGACAACTCGTTCAAGGCCGACAACCGGGTTCCCCAGGAGATGACCGTGGCAGAGGCCAGACCGGAGGAACTGAGCGACAAGACGGTTCAGGAGGCGTTGCGCTGGTTTGATGAGGATTCTACAGAGTCAAGGTGACAGCGTTAGGTGACGTGATGAGAGGGGATGAGGAGCTGGACAAAAGTGGTAAATTTTTGGGCCAATGAGAGGGGTTCTTTTAAGTTTGCGGGGTGAAGTTGGCTTTGTCGCGTCCTGTCGTTCCTCATGCAAGGCAAACATCTGACCAGTCCGCGTTGACTGGAGACAGATCTGATAAATGAGAGTAGAGCTTTTATAGAAGCTGAACCGACCAATGAGAGGGGCTCTTTTAAGGGCAGTCGGGGCCGGGGCATAGACCTTTCGTTCCTCACTCACAGGGGAAGGCGCACGTCCGCCGGGGGGAAGTTGGACGTTGGAAGCTGGGCGTGGTGGGCAAGTTGGCGGCTCCCTTGCGCTGAGTAGCCTTTCGGTACAAAGCTTGTGGGTTGCTGCACGTGTTGAGAAGAGGGCGCGGTTTTAAGTGGTCGGCTCTGGATGGGTGGATAAAGAGACTTGGCCAATAGGGCGTGTATGTGTGTTACCTTTATTTTGTGTAGCCAATAAGACGCATGCAGCAGGCTTTGAGAAGCAGGCACCATTTTGAGTGGTATGATTTGAAGAGCTTAATGCGGAACTAAGAGACCTAGCCAATAGGGTGAGGGTGAATAATTGAGACAAGGATCAGGGGACTGAGACTAGCAGAGGTCAATCAGTTGCAATACCAAAGAGGGAAAATTGTCAATTTGAGTATAAGAAACTGCCATGCCAAGATGTCCTGGTGTTGAGACCATTAGACTTTTATCACTCGCACTGGTGTTGAAACCGCACGCTTATTTCCCCCACATATCAATCTGTAAGTTTTCCGAACCCAATACAACAGCCCAAAATACCACACACTATCACTATACTAGGCTACTTAAAGTCTCTTTGTCGGATGCCTCTTGTTTCTGCCACCTGGTTCGGTAGTTGATGACCTTATATTAGGACGAACGGAGGATCGGAGTGTGGCAGATATGTTAGGTGATCGAGAGTCCTCGTTTTCCTTCGCTTCACCTTCTTCATGGTTATCATTTTCATCAGAGTCTACGGACGTTAAAGGGGAGACCGGCGACCCTGCAATGATTGGAGATGTTGCGGTAGTTACAGTAGACCCCTTGAGTCTCTTGGGGGCGGGGTTGTTCGAACTTGACTGAGACGATGGCGATGCGGAGATTGCGGGCCGTTTGTTCTGAGATGGAGTAACGGGTTGTTGGGATGGACCTCCCTGCGGCGATTGTGATGATTGTGACCGTGACTGTTGCTCCTGTGAAGATTTCTTTGAGGGAGACTTGAACATAGACCTCGCTGCTGCGAATCCGCCAGCTTGGGATGCGCCAGGTTCGGTTTTAGAGGGGGGGACTGTGTTAGCGGCAGGTGCAGGTGGCGTGCTCTTGTCCGGAAACGTCCAAGAGTCGGGAACGACAATGAAAACATAGTCCTTCTCATCAACTGTAGGGGCGGCTACCATAAGACTATGGTCAAGCAGGCCAACAATCTTGCCGACGCAGTTGAAGGGAACACCTGGAACAAACTGTGTATCTTTCCTATCTGCCATCTTCTTGCAGAGGAGAGAGAATGGCAAAGCGCGAATAGGAAAGAGAATAAAAACTTGAAAGGGGTGGAAGCCTTTGAAAGGGCTCTTTGATGGCTGACCCGGCGTGATGAAGGTACAGCACTGGATAAATGCACAGCATCTCAGCTGCGCATCATCCAACAGCGGGACAGAGTCCTTGATCAAGTGGGTTTGACCTGTCCCGAGAACCTGCCCGGTCAAAGAAACAACCGGTTGGATAAGTGGAAAGCACTCACCATTGCAAAGAGTTCGTGGGTCAATGCTGATAGTTACATTAGTGGCAAGCGCGATAGTCGAACTCGAGCTAAGGGAAATTGATAAGTCTGCTTACGCTTGGTATCCAAAGTCGCGTATGAGAACAAGTGGAACCTTGTACACTTCGCCGTCACCATCTTCATCGCCGAAAACATCAGGCTCCCGTAGCGCCCACTCCAGTGCGTAGGGGTGTACTTTTCCAGTGAAATGGAACCACTGATTCTGCCACTCCGATTCAACAATCTGCTGGTTATAGACAGAGAGGTTGAGACTAAAGTAAATCGGGAGTGGATCAGGGGATCGACACCCTTCAGGACGCAGCACAGAATATTCAGGCAGTGTCATATAGGGAGGGGGTGGAAGAAAAACCCTGCCAAGAGCTTCAACATTAAGGCTCTTTATGAGTTGTTCATCTGATGTAGGAAACCGCGTTGGGGTATCCAGCTGACCAAAAAAGGACATGGTCATATCACTACCAAGGTTTTTCTGAGAGTCATAAGGCATGCGCGGAGGGGGATGACCGCTAAGAGTAGAATTTGAGGTAGAAGTTGATGAAGACATAATATATAGAACAAGCAAAGGTTTCGATAAAAAATGGGAGAGCGGTTAAGATTACGACTCTGCGAGAGAGAGAGAGAGAGAGCAATAGTAAGATAAGCCTGCAAGATTGGTATATAAATGTAGGGAACAAAGAAGAAACACATCTGACATTTATAATCGATTAAATTATATAGTATATACAATGCGAAGATTGATACCACTTGGTAAAGATACTGTATTTCATTGTGCAGAGAGGATGTGGCATCGCCGATCTCCATCCAACATTTTCAGCCAAGAGCTACTATCCCTGCCGATGTGGATACTCGCACAATTGAATTGATCAATTAAGATAGATGGTGAACAGATCTGCTTTTTCCATGAGTACAAAGGATTGGCCAAAACGTCAGCACATGTCGCCGATCGCATTCAAGCATCTTGAGGTAAGAACCTTGATCCCTGCCAAGTGGATACTTGCACAGCGGGATTGATCAATCAACGTAGCTGTTGAACAGAATTGCTTCTTCCACGATTACAAAGATTGAGTAAGATATTAATGCATGAAAAAAAGAAAAAAAAACAAGTATGAGAGCTGAGTAGCATTTGATAGGTAGATGAAATAACGTGGTGTGTATTATATCAATCACATAAGTGTCCATCGATGTTACCATTACAACGAAAGAGGGTGAAGGGATATTTTGATCTATTGGTATATCAATACTGCAGCGACCATATAAATAAGAGGGTGGAGGAGTATGATGCTCTACTGGTATACCGGTGTAATGATGCTCCGAGTAGATGATGGGATGAATAATCAAGCCCGAAATTAATTATCACGAAAGTAAGAGGGTGGAGGAATATGATGCTCTATTGGTATACTGGTGTGATGATGCTCCGAGTAGATGATGGGATGAATAATCAAGTCTGATATTGGGATGAAATTGGAAGAGTAAAGAAGACCATGGTGGGATAGACGTATCATTTATTGGTAGGTGGGTCAAGACAATGACGATAGACGACATTATCATATAGTTTTTGATAGGTATAATAGAGATAAAGATGACGTGGGAGTATCGGGATAGAATCGGATCAAGAGCAGAGTAGGACCGGTTGGTGTGGGAGAATCGAAATCTGCCCCAGCATGTACCGATCACAAAACAGCATTTGAATGGCATCAACCTTTATCGTTCATATTTATAATACTATTTGGCTTAATACACATGATTACACGCCTAAGAATATTCGTACATACACTATCTTGTAATGGATTCGTCATCATTTGCTCGACTTGAAAGGTTGCGTGGTCGAACGCCTGGCAGCACACTGAGCAGTTTCGGGCTGAAGACGTACGATGATATTTTGGTGGGGGAAAGTCGAATACAAACGCAACACCAAGAGAATCATATTCTACTGTCCAACTAAGCATGTCCGATCGTGTTCCGGATGTCCAGCCTGTGGGCCTGGCATTAAGGAAGTCACACTCTACTGTCCAACCGACTACACCTGGTGATATTCCAGAAACCGTACCTATAGACCCGGCACTAGACGGATCACCATCAACTGGCCAATCAAGCAAACCAGGCAATCACCAACAATACCGATCAAGTGTAAATCAAATCGATAATGCCAATGCGCAAACACAGGCGGCAGGAAACTGGATGAGCCGGCCACCACCAGGGAGCACGACGCCGACACAGGTGCCTCCAAGAAAAAGAGGCAGACCGCGAGGTTCTCGTGCACCAAGGCGGAGAGATGTTCGAGAAGGAAATCGGGTGCAGGAACATCAGCCAAGTGCATACCAAGCCGACACCATCAATACTCAAATACAGGGACCTGAAAGCTGGATGAGTCGACCGTCGCCAAGGAGTACGACACCAATACAGGCGCCTCCAAGATCAAGAGGCAAACCGCGAATTCTCGTGCATCAAGACGGAAAGATGCCCGGGAAAGAAACTGGCGGCAAAGGAGACAAACCCAACAGCAAAGACCACTGGTTGCCGTTGGGACCCCCCCAGCCAGTTCCCAGTTGCCATCTAATGCTCCACGACGTCAGAAAAGGAGGTCGCAACAAGCACAGCAACTAAAACCTGTACCAGCGCAACCGCTGATAGCACCAAACCCCACACAGGCTGCAGAAATAACAACGCGAGCCATATCACCCGCACAATGCACTGGGCGTGCAGCAATGTATGAGCATTCTAAGCTTTTCAGATGTGGATCAACATGGCCAACAAGAACTTGGCGCCAAGCGTAAGGCTGACCAACACGGACAAGAACAAAACAAAAGACAAAATCGAAGACGGGTTGAGAATAGCAACCTTGAAGAGCAAACCCAGGCATTCAGAGAGCTATTAAGCATCTGGAAGATGAATTTACAGAGAAGGAGAGAATATCCTACACAAAGGATTGGCGTAAGCCGGTCCCCCGTGAGAGGAATATATCCACAGTCATGGACTTTTATCAAGCATTTCACAACATCGACACCCTACCCATACACACATGCATGATATGCTATCGAAAATCAGCACCATGGAGATAAAAGAGCTTAGCTGGGAAGAGTGGACAAATAGGGCAGCGATGAATAGCTGCCGCACGTATTCATGTCCAGATTGCTTCCCTGTTGGCAAGGCTATACGGAGCTGCGAAAACTGTGCCATGAAGATCCGCGAATGCAATATGGCGCGGGGCGGGAACTTGCATCAAGCACTTGGTTGCGAGCACATGTACCCGGATGCTCTCAGAGATTTGACTTTGGTTGAGGAGAAGCTGATTGCACTCAACACCCATTTCGGCTTCGTTGCAAGAATCAAAGTCACAAAAAGCACCAAACAGAGTACGGCATATGCACGTCATGTAAAGGGTCATATAACTGTGTTTCCAAACAGTGTTCAAGACTTGGTTACCACAGTACTACCACATCCGCTTCTACAATCTTTGGAGGACATCCATATATCCTGGCATGGGCCGCAGAGACCAGCCCCCAGCGATCTATCCAAGTTGCTCTCAGTCCGGCGAGGAGTTGTGGAACGGGCGTTGCTTTGGCTAAAAGAATTTAACCCCCACTATCGGCATATCCAAATCGACAAAGCGGAGTTGGATAGTTGGGGAGAGCCGGCGCACGGGGTTCCGAGCCGGATCTATGACAGGATAGAGAGAGATGAACCATCGGCATGGGAAGAAACGCGAACAGCGCACATTGTGCCCCCGAAGAACGTGGAATGGATGACACGGAGCCCCAGTCACTCGAACAGATTGTGGACGGGCTAGGCAGAGCGTATGATGAGAATGATGTAAGTTACGACGAGGATCAGCAGCTCCATGACGAGCGCAGTCGGGAGGAGCTCGAGTATGAGGGCATGGGAAGCTTTCTTGATGAGATCCTTGCATCTGGTATGTTTCCACTGGATACAGCACCGCGAGCAACCGATGCCGATAAACTGCAATTTGCCATTGATACAATCAGAGGTGGACACACAAATGCGCAAGAACAGCCGCCCAATCAGCCGACTGGGAGCGCGCAGGATTCGCACCTTCAGCCATACATTCACATTTCAAGAGGCAATGAGTTTGCAGATATCAATGACTCTGGTATCTTGCAAAAGCATTTCCAACACTATTCCCCTTCGGCTTCGGTGGGCCACGGTGTAAGAAAGAGATGGAATCGGACCTGTGGAAGAACAGTCTCCAGCTCACAGGGCATATCCGTGATAGAGACAGTATTGGAGAGGGTGGAGAGGATGCGATTTCGCCAACACGTAATCTCGGACTTCACGCATGGATGAAGAAAGTGCTGCAACGACATGGTGGTCGCTTTGCCAATCATCCGGCCTTTTCATTTCTACTATTCAACATAGAGGTTCGGTCTAGGAATAGAGGAGTAAGTATGGTGAGCGTGCGACGGAACGATTTTCCTGAGGTTGAGAGGATCATTCAGTCGTTAACACCAGAGAGGCTGGCGGAAGTACAAAAGGAGTTAGAAGCTGGCGGGAGCACCCGAGATGAAGATATCAAAAAACTCCTGCGATATATCTCATACTTTGGCTACAAACAGGCCATGTCGCAGGAGTCGCGGCTAGCCATGCGCAGAAAGATTAAAGCGCTCATCATCAGATACGGTATACCGGCGATTTGGTTTACGCTGAACCCTAATGACATTACGAACCCGGTAAAACTACGTCTGGCGGCATACCGAAAGGAGGACAAGGCTGCCGCGGAAGCAACCCTGCTTCGGGCCCTTCAGGATAGGTATGAGAGAGTGAAGCTGGCGATAACTGACCCCATAAGCTCTGCCATCTTCTTCCACCGCGAAGTAGAGATGTTCTTTGAGCATTACGTCAAGGTTGGGGAGGAATCTGTGTTTGGTCAGATTGGACAGTATTTCGCCGCTGTCGAGACCAACGAACGCGGTGCTCTTCATGTCCATGGTTTGCTATGGCTCGAGGGGAACTTGGAGCTCGGAAACTTCATCGGTGCTCATGGAAACGGGGAGGATGATGAGAGTGCGGCGATGGAACGGGAAGGAATCCTGAAATATGTCGATTCTGTCTTTACCGAGGTATGTGCATCCATATATCCACGTAACCAAAGCCAACGTAGGTCGGAAGCTAAACTATTATCTAGGATCTGGACGAATCTGCTGCCTTTAGCGAGGAGAGCGAGACTAGGGTAGTTTACGACAACATATCCCACCTGATGACCGATGCAGGGCGCTTCTCTGAACAGTTTGACGATGAAGCCCACTTTTGCGCGGGCAGGGTCCAGATGCACGTCCATACCGCAACTTGTGTCAAATACTCTCACAACAAGGAGGGGACAAAAAGCCCACATGTCGATTCCATGCGCCTTGGAAGCTCTTTACAAAAAGCGAATTTGGCGCGGATGGTATACTTCGGCTCCAACGCTCACATCCCATGATCAACCGATGGAACAAGCCAATGGCGGTTGGGTTGCGGCACAATCACGACATCTCCTTCATCGGAACCCAAAGCAAGACAATGGCGCTGATATACTACTTGACAAACTACGCCACAAAAATCCAAGATCCGATCTGGAAGAGAGTGGCCATAGCAGCAGAGCTCTTTCCGAGTATCAGCACAACCAGCGCCGTCGGGCTAGGTGCAACAACTGCAAACTACGAAGCCAAGGCAAATATAAACCGCCAGTATCTGATGAGAATCGCAAACCGAATATTCACTGAGCGGCCATTATCGCAGGTGGAGGTGATTGCGCACTTCCTGGATTACCCAAGTGAGTTCTCGAGTACTAAACAATGGTCATATGTGAATATGACAACGATATACTGGGCAATACTCCGACGCTGGCAATATCTCCAGAAATGCAGTAGCACTTTAGGCGACGACGATGATCGACCTATCGAGAACATAGGTGGCAATGGCAACGGCAACGGCGCGGAAGCCAGCGCTGAGAGGGTCTTGGTGGGAAGCGATGGCAAGAAGCTACCGTACATTGAAGCTTACCACCACCGTGGAGAGGTGCTGCAGACATTATGCTTCTATGACTACGTGTCGCTTGTTACATTACAAAAGAGGATAGATTCATCTCCCAAGGAGTTGGTGAAGATAGAATTTGAAAGGAACTGGAAGCCGGGAAGGGACTGGGTGCAAGTTCTAAGACCCCCGGGGAAGTATGCGGTGCCGTGCATTAACGGCTTTCTCGATATGGACTTTGATATTGATTCAAACACAGACAAATACCGCAGGTAAGCACAAGCCATGTAACAGTACAGATAAACAAAGAGCATGTACTGATATTAGTACTAGAGCTGCAGTACAGCACCTTGCACTCTTCGTACCATGGGAGAAGTTTATTACAGCAGCGTCTGGTGACATCAACGAAATCTGGGAGCACTGGAGACGGCGACTCCCCAAAAGACTCCAGACTATCGCAGGCAACATCCAGCTCTTGAAGCGATCAGCGGAAGATGCGCGGCGAGATGCAAAGCAGTGGGCGGCTGCGGGGGACGACGCCGTTTTGGATGACATCGACGCTATGGGGTATGATCTCCAAGATCCTACAGGCCCAGTAAAAGCATATCGCCCAGACCAGGTTGGCCAGCTTGGCCGATTGATTGAGACAGTACGAGGTGCTGCGGCCCCTAACCAGGTGACCGCTGGTTCGGAGCATCTTTTGCAGATGCTAGATCAGCTCCGCGAAGCCCAAGCAGATATCCCCGACTTTGCGGATGATGTCGAGACTGTCGCTTCCGCAGAGAACCCAGCGCAGTACCAGCCAACCATGGTAGCCAAGAGCGAGCTCCCAACGCAACGTCAGCTTAGAGGAATTAAGAGCAAGCAGGATCAAGCTGACAAGGAAATTGTGAAAAGAATCCGAGGCTCTGATGGAGTTCAGATCACGCAGAACACAGCTGCCGGCGCAGAAGCATCACTGGACCATACCTTCGCGGGTGCGGGAGAAGATATGATAGAAATGTCAGAAACAGAGACCCGGAACACTCAGAGACCCAGTGCCAGGGTCGCCTTTGGACCGTCGACAACATTCCTCCAAGCCGGTCGGGAGATTGCAAGGAGGTTCACCTTGAACGAGCGGCAGGAAATCGCCTTCCTTTTAGTGTGTCGCCATCTCGACACCATCCCGGACGAAGATGACAGCGATGATTTCGGTAGCAGTAATGTCGAGAACAATGATAACGCACAACTATGCGAGTTCCTGGGTGGGGAGGGCGGCACCGGGAAGTCCAGGGTCATCGAGGCGTTGGCGGAATTGTTCGCTAGCAAAGACATATCGCACAGGCTGCTTATGACGGCGACATCCGGGGCCGCAGCAGCGCGGATCAACGGCGTGACTATTCACTCCGCCTGTGGGATGCAACCGAACGCATCCGGCAGCAATGCGACGATGGCAGCACGGTAACCTACGTGGACGGTGATGCTCGAAGAAGATGGAGAGAAAAGTGGCTGCTCATCATTGACGAGGTGAGCATGCTGGGCCTCCAGACGCTCTCCGACATCAACAAGCGACTTTGCGCCTCCCGGGGATCGAATCAAGATTTTGGCGGGATCCCAGTGGTGCTACTATCAGGAGATTTCCACCAGTTCCGCCCAGTGCAAAAAAGTCGCTGTTGACGCCATGGTCCGCCCTCAGGATTGCGGATGAAATGAGGGCGCACGCACTCTGGGCTCGATTTACCACCGTCATTATGCTCACCGAACAGGTGCGCGCAGCGGGGGACCCGGAGCTGCAGCGGCTGCTGACTCGGATCCGGCAGGGGCAGCAAGACGAGTCCGACATGGAGCTTCTTAATAGCCGGTGCTTTCAGGAAGGCCGGGCCATACCATGGGGCAAGGGCATCACAGTAGTTACACCCCTTAACAGCAATAGATGGAGCTTGAATATGGATGCGGTCTTGGCCTTCTAGAGGCACTACCAGAAGCCAGTCCGGATATTTCTGCCCCAGTACCGTTGGGGTAAACCCAATATATTGCCGGTAACGGAGGAAGAAGCTACGCTTATAGCCAGCGTCGGAGATGATAGCAAGATCTGTGTGCCGGCCACGTTCATATTCGTGCCTGGCATGCCGGTGGTAGTGACGAAGAATATAAACCCAGGCCTCAAGCTCGTAAACGGGGCCAAGTATAAAGTACTGGAAGTTATACCAGACGCCAAGAGATTCCTAGGGTATCAACTCGCCCCGAACATTATCCTCCACTTTGGACCACCTGCCGGCATTATCCTATTATCCGAGTCAACCAAGAAGTTCAAATTTGATGACATGCCACCCGGTACGATCCTGCTTACTCCAACAAGTGCCCAAATACCTATTAAGAAGAAGAAGAGGGCTAAGAGGAGGCCTTGGCAGAGGCACGAAGTGAGCCGCCGAGGACTTCCCTGTACTGCAGCGTTCGTATACACCGATTACAAAATCCAAGGCGAAACCCTCGTCGAGATTGCGCTGGAGCTGCGAGGAACCGGAATAAAGCTGAATACGACAACTGGACAACTCGAGCCAGGAAAGTGCGATCCGTACAGCCTGTATGTGCAGCTATTGCGGTGCACATCGCTTGATGGTATTATGTTGCTCTTAAAGGCACGGGTGCAGGACATAGTCGGGAATAAAATACCACAGGAAATGTTTGATGGCGAGGCTAGGCTGGAATAGTTGTGCGAGAGGATAGTAAATGAGGCCCGATTATTATTGTTGTTATATCTATCTGCATAAGAGTAGTGTTAATGTAATTTAGATAATAGGTTTCTTATATATAAATAGAAGTAGGTAGAAGGATAGAAAACCAATATATATATAATCAGAGCATAAGAGAGAATCTTATAAAATATAAGGATAAGAGCAATAATGCTATCATAAACCGAGTTCCTTACCTTAGTATGCTCAGGCCATTTCCAAGAGGAGTTTAGCGTTATTGGGATTTGGTGATGTTATTTGTGGGACTCCTCGAGTAAATGGCCTGAGTGTGCTGTGTTAATGATTTTGGGCCTGAGTCAAGATGGACACAACGCGTACCTTACAATACGATAGACATGTAAACTCTGACCGACTGAAGCGTTATATAATGCTCAATAGTACTTCACTGATTTTTTTACTATGTTTCCTCTTCGCTTCGTGGGCTATTTAGCGGAAGAGTGGCAGGATTGGCATGTGCTGAGGTCAGAGTTCCCACGCCACCTTTCGTACCGAAAGGCAAATCCCAGAGCTTAAGAAGACCTTTCGTACCAAAAGGCATTGCTAAAAGCGCGGCACCCGTATCAAAGTGGTGCAGCACCCCTATCAATTGCCTTTCTTGAATCCGAAACTTCACTTTTGAGTAAAGACATATTTTGTACACTAATAATTAGACCACTCTAATAGAAAGATTCTAGTATAATGTTTCTAAACCTAGCATACAAAAGTTGCTTAGATGCAATAGAAGAATTAAATTCTATACCGCGACAGCAACCACCTTCCCACCTTCTACATAAGTTCCATTGACTGGAGCAGCCTGACCTCCTGCTGTTGTGACATAGAGGATGCCGCGATCTTTCAGTGTACGTCCAAAGGCAGCCGAAGTTGCTCCAGGGATGACAGTTGAATTCAGTCCTCCTATAACCAACTCCTTCCTCCCATCCAAGTAAACTCTTTCCAACGAGTTTTGTCCATTCTCCGTAACATATGCAACACCCTTTTCAGAGATAGCAAAATCGTCCCCGGGAACTCCAGTACTAATAATTTCGTACTGGCCAATTGCCTTCCCTGTGGATAAATCAATCTTCACTCGACAGAACAACCCTCTGAGAGCATTGACGTAGTAGAGATAGTCCCCTAGGATCCGGATTCCATTGATGCCCAGAATGAGAGGTGCCCCTTCGAGCGGTTTCATCGTCTCATCCTCCAGCACAATCTCATATTTCGTAGTCCTTATATCCATGCGCCAAACAACACCACTGGCTGAATCCGAGATCATGACGCTTTCATTCCGGCGATTCAACGTCGTCATGCCATTCAAAAAACTTGCTTCCGGAATTCGTTCGATCTCTGAGATTTTCTCGCATTTCCCCCCTCGATTGAAGTCTATCCCCCATATGGAGTATGACTTTGGGTCCGACATTCTTCGACTAACCGAGAAGTTTCCGGCAATGACGATGAAGACGTCAGGCGCCATCTCTGTTATCCCTAACAAACTCAGGGCGTTTGCTTGCTCGAAATCCTCGACTAGTTTAGCGTTGCCGTGGAGAGAATTGATCTGGTACAATTCCGGCCGGTCGATTAAGGTCACAAGCAGATCTCCATTGCGTCGAACCGCTATGTTCTCGACCCAGGTTCCGTTGGAAAATTGAAACACCGTACGGACTTGATTTTGGGAAGGGAGTTTTGTAACTGTTTTTGCCGAAACCAGTGCCTGACAGAGACATAGAACGAGAATAATGAGGGGGTTTTTGGTGGATGACATGTTGTATTGGTCTCAAGGAATTCAATGATGACTTGATGAAATATTATTAACCTACCCACGTGCTTTTATACTACCAATTTTAGAATAACCAGTAAAAGCAATTTGTCAGCGCTATAGAAATGACATAATTCGGCCGACACCATTACAAAGCCATACCACGAAATCCACATATGGATCCATAATTTGGATCCATATCCATTCCACTGTCTGGTAAGCCTTAGACTTCTTAAAAGGGGCCCGATTCATATTCTAACAGCTGACTTGTACAGGTACAAGCTGGGATCTGATTCACGTGTACGAATTTCTTCTCGAAACCCTTGAATCCACGAAAAGAGCAGTCGCCAATTTTCCAGACGGCCATCACCTCGCTGTTAACATCAACCTGGGTTGGCTCAAATTGAACAAATACTGAGAGCATTTGAACGATAGTCCCCTGATCTATGGCGCCGCAGTTCTCCATCCTGCTTACCGGTGGGCACTGTTCGACGATTTGTGGGGAGACGACGAGGAAAGACAGCTGTGGATTACCAAGGCGAAGGAGATGGTCCAGGATCTCTGGGAGAGGGAGTATAGAGACCTTGAGGTTGATGATCCAGAGATTGAATTGCCCGCCAATAAGCGGCTGGAGACCTTCAGAAACAAGTTCACAGCGTGCGCACAAAGAAGCGAGGACTGACGGCTTGAGGGATTTCTGTTAGCGAGTCGCCCATTCAATCCTCGGCGCAATCCCCTAGGTCCTCAGTTAGCGGTCTGGATCTTGATGAATACGAGCAGTGGCAGTGTGATATCGAGGATTCTGACGCTTCTGTCACAGATCCCTACGAATGCTGGCACATAAGGCGGCTCAAATACCCCCGGTTGTCTAGGATGGCCCTTGGATCTGCTTACTCTGCCACCAATGTCAGCCGAGTGTGAGAGGCTTTTCTCGACCACTGCCCTCATGGTTACCAAGAGCTGCAATAGGCTAGATGCCAGTACAATTGGGCTTTGTCAGACATTACGGAGTTGGTTGCGTGCCGGTGTGATCGGGTCGCTAGATAGGATTCCAATGGACCAGTAACAAAACATTGACGTCACCAAGGCACGGACACAAATTCCACAATATGGATCCATTGCTATAATGGATCCATTTCCACTTATTGCACATCGAAGTTATTAGTCAACATCCATATCCACGCCATATTCACAAATGTGTCGTGGAGTGTCGTGGATTTGAACCCTGACTATTGTTACATCGTTAACTGTGAGCCACAGAGTGTCTCGGGTTTGATAGGGTCGGTTCTGGTCTGCTAGGAATCTAGGGTCTCGCCGGACATATGTTATGACTCTAGGTCGAGTGCCATTACTATCCCATGTTTCAACCGGCGTGAATGTGTCATACGCCGGGTGAGTTTTTATGAGATACCGGGAGTTTGTGAGAGTTGTCCAAGGTTCCTGTAGAAGGATAATGTCGCATTGCTCGGCACAATCGTGGACAGTTTTGCCGCAGCGTTGGCAGGGAGGTTGTCTGTTACAGACGCGGAAAGAGTGGTAGTCCTAGCATGTTTCGCCCTGCCTGGGGCGGTCGGTTTTGTTGACGAGTTTGGCCGTGCGGCTGCCGAAAAGGGACCAATAGTTCTTGGTCGGCTTCAGGAAGCATACAAGCAAGGTCTTGGTTAATGGGCTGTCTGAGATGCGTTGCGAAGGGCGTATGGTAACAGGCTTTAGCCCCGTCTGGATTTCTATTTCATCGTTGACAACAGTTTCACTGTCCATCTCATTACCATGGAAATCGGTCAGTTTACGGGGGAAGTCTGGAACTGCATAGGTAAACCATTTCTTGTTGGTGTCTACAGTGGTAGCCTCAAAGTCTCCGCCCACTCGGCCTGCTTCTCTATGAGGAGGTCGCGGGTCTCGAGGTCGGTGGTTTGGACGGCCCATCCGGACTTGACTCGGAATACCTGTCGGATCTTGTCCGAGACGGCGCCGAATTTCTCACGGATGTGGGTCCGGATTGCATAGCTATTTTGGGTTCTGGCCGGAGCTCCGGCTTCTAGGCGGATGAAGACATGGAGGTCCTCTCGGGGAGGGGCCGTGGTCGCTGATTGCCCCTGGTGATGCGGGGCGGTTTGTTGTTGTTGACGCTGGTGGGTGAAGTGGTTATGTGCAGCCGGAGCCGGAGGCGAGGCAGCGATGCGGCTGTAGGTAGACGTGGGGGCAGATCCAGCACTGGAGAGCTTCCGATTCCAAGAGTCTAGGAAGCTATTGGCAAACTGTTGAGTGAATTGTCGTTCCAGTACAGTGGTGAATTGGCTGGCAGCTTCTTCGAACTTGGTACAGAAGGCCTGGAATACTATCAACTTGGTATTGTACTCCAGAGGTTGAGGGCACGAGGCCCAAATTGTTAAGGCGGTGGGACTGCGCTGGTGGCCCCGGGCAGCTAAAACTGCAGAGGTTGTCGAGGCGGCAGGGTCGCGGAAGATTACGTCGATCGGACCTGTAACGGTCGGGCTCCTGAAGGAGAAGGGAGGTTAGGATTATAGCTTTGAGCAGGAGGATTAAAGCTTGTAGGAGCTGTAGGTTAGTAAGCTTAAGAGATCTGAAAGATTAGGGCTAAGGGGGGTCTAAAGGCTTAAAAGAGTGTTGGAATGAGACCTCGTGTGGCGGCATAACATGCCTGATCCGGACAGCCTGATGCGGAACGCCGGATGCGGAACGCCGGATCTAGTTAACAACGCCGGATCCGTCTCCCTTTGACACCCTGATCTAGATCCCTTTGAGTATAAAATAGGGACCCTATGACCCTCAATCAATGGAGGAACAACCTTCTCAATTTACATCACTTGATCAATCACTTCTGCTATTGCATACAGCAAAATTGCGTATCCAACAAAGAGCTAAAGATTAAAGGCTTGAGATATCAGGAAGTTAAGGCTAGTAATAGCTAGTAGCTCTAGAAGCTGGATTTTAAGAACTTAAGAAATAGTTATTAAAAGAAAAGTTAAAGGCTTTAAAAAAGCTATAGAAATTTATAATAGCTAACTTAATAGTTATAGTAAAAAATATAGCAGTAGTAAAGCTAAAACTATATAGTCCAGAGAAGTAAGAGATATATAATATACTCTAAACTATTAGTTTAGACTGCAGTCTAGACTAATAGTTCAGTTTAAAGGTAATAGACAGACTGATAGTCTAGTCTCGGAGCCCTGGCCAGACTGCCAGTCTAGTCTGACCAAATCAGACGGACTAAATAAACAGTCTGAGGTGTTCAGACGGACTGAGCAGACTATTAGGAGCGCTCAGCGAAGGCACTCGTTTTCAACCATGTCTCCACAGACGTGATATCCGGGTGAACCTTCTTAACTTCCTCTATGTCAATGTTGTAGCCTTCGTCTCGCAACCAATTTATCATGCTTCCCAGTTCCGCAACGCCAGCCATTAGAGCCTTTCCGAGGAAACCAAATATCGTGCCAGCTCGGCGCCCGGTAACCCTCTCGAACGTCTGACTCAGTTGGGAAAAGGTCAGCTCGTCGCCTGCGATGCCGACAGCCTTGTTGGCCCAGGCAGTAGGGTCGTGGAAAGCCTTCGCTGCAAAGACGCCAATATCCTTAGTGACCACCCACTGCAGTGGCTTCTCCTTCAATGTGTTGCGTACTGCCGTCATGAAGACCTTGCTCTGGAAGCCTGGAGCGATGCTGTCGATGAAGTTGACGGGCCGTAGGATCGTCCAGCCCATGGAGCTCTTGCCGTTAGCGGTGGAATCGCGAAGGTGAATCTCGATGTCATGTTTGGTCTTGAAGTGCGGGACGAAGGTGGGGTTGTTCCATGACTTGTCGTTTCCACCGCGGTCGACACTGCTGTAGACGAAGTGCTGGATGCCGGCCTTGATAGCTTCGTCGACCATTTCCTTGCCTTGTTTCAACTCGCCAGCTAATGGGGCCCGTGAATCAATCGACGCCTGCATGGAGTAGACTCCCCATAGCGGGACGGATCCGGCGGCTTTCCTGGCAGCTTCGAAGAGAGTAGGGATTGAGTCGAGGTTCCCCTCGACGAGTCTGATGGAAGAAGACTTTGCACAGAGGGTCTTGGCTCGGGGGGATTGAGCATCACGGGTGACGGCAAGTAGCAGGAAATCGGAAGGCTGACTTGCGACGAGGGCGTCGAGGACGCTGCCGCCCTGTTTCCCTGTGGCGCCGGTGATGAGAATAGCGCGGGACATGGTCGCGAGGAATGGTGATGGGTGGTGAGTAGGATGGATTGTGGTTGAGAAGGTGGATAGTGGTGCTGGAGAGTGACGGAATGTGACCTGACGTGAGCATCGCTGCAAATATATCTGGTCAGACCGCACCTCTGGAATGGCATGAATTTAAGAAATGCTAGAGTGGGGCGAGACCAGGTACCTCGATTTGGATAATGAGATCATTCCTCATGCTTCCATGACCGTGTTGTTGCTTGATGTTCGAAGTCACCGGGGATCCGGCTTAAGCAAGCTTAGCTCATTTTCATCCAACACCGCGATGTCGTGAGGGACCCCTGTCACGACGTGTATTTGGGTTGCTGGGCGTGTACATGGCGTGTTACTGGTAGACTACGTTAGCTATGTCCTTCTAGCTGGTTTCAGTATAAGGATGTACAGGGACTCAGAGCGGGGATCATGTGCAACTCAGAATATACACACACCCAATCAGATGCCTCACAGAATCAGAGCTCGTGACAACTCCCTGCACTGGTTAGTAGCACGCACAGACTGGTATCGTTTGCTGACAAATTCGGCAGGCTCTGCCTGCGGCTATGCCCGAAGGCTACACAATCACGAAAGTGGTGTAAAGTATCGGCCAGCCCTCGAAGCTTGTCCCCACATATACAGCCCGTAGTGCATTTAGCGGAAGAGGTAGCTGGGCCAGACGTGCTTCTCTGGGTAAATAGAGTCGGGGTTCCGATTGTTCCGATTCTACATATCTATTTCCCTCGTCATTTAACCGAAATGGTTCAGAAGATCCTGGTCCGCCGCTGGACTTCAAGGCGTGCCAGATAAGTCGGGTGCTTACGAAGCGTGACTTTAAAACCCGCTGAATGTAATATAAGGCCTGTGGATCACTGACCGTATTGATACGGCGAGCTACGCTGGGCGGCGCCCGCTGGTGGGGCTTGTAGAAGCTGCGGCTCAGGTATTTATGGATATAGTTTAGAAGATCCTGGTCTGCCGCTAGACTTTAAGATGAGCTACAGTGGGGCTGCGAAAGTTACGACACACCCCAAGTCAACCCGGTGCCACAGTACCTCCACCAAATGAAGGCCTCAGGTTTATTTAATTCTAGCAAAATCAAATAAATATCAAATAAATATTTATATATATACCAATCGATCATATCTATCCTGAATCTTTACAATCTTTACAATCTTTACAATCTTTACAATCTTTACAATCTTTACAATCTTTACAATCTTTACAATCTTTACAATCTTTACAATCTTCGGCGGTGCTGCTGTAGGGGTTTGAAGGGCCCAGCGTAGCGCGACGCGACGCGAAACAGCGCAATGGACGCGACCTCGGATAGCATCGTTGTGTCCCCCGAGGACCTCGGCCCTCGAGACTCCAGCATGCGCAAATCAGACCGACCGCGAAGACTGACAGCGAAAGGGTTGGAGAATCTATCTGGTAACGTTGGGATAGTGATACAAGCCCTAATCTGCGAAACACGCAAAGAAACAATAAAATAAATAGCGAAGGCACAGGAGGAAACAGTAAAGGAAATCACGAGCTCGCACGAGAGAATTATTGAGACCCTATGGAATGCGTGGAAAAAGGAGCAGCAGGCGCTGAAGAAATTAATTGAGGGCCAGGAGAAAGCAATCGGGCAACTACAGCAAGACATTCAAGGCATTCAGTCGCAAGCCGCATAAGAACAAAAGCTGATATAGGAATAGATCGAGGAGCTTAAATGAATGTAGCAGTACACCTCACGCAATATTAAACCTCTTTAAGTGCAGGCCGCTAACGAAATCAAATGCATCCATAAAAAATTAGATACTATAGCACAGAGCGCTGTAGCCGGCTCCACTCAGACGAAGCCTAGGCAATCGTTTGCAGATATAGCTCGTATGTCACCAGCGGAGGGGCAGAGTGGCGCTGTTAGATTCCCTGAGCTGGTATCTTTACCTATATCGCCACCTTCGTCTCCTGGAAAGGATCTTTTCTGAACGATAGACCTATCCAGAGCGGGTCACAATGACAGTAACAAGGCGCAGATCGGAGAGGTTCGGCAGGCAATCGAGGCCGTTGTAAGAGCAAGAGTAAAAGACGAGAAATGGAGGTGCGCGGCGGTGATCAGTGGTGCTAGGAACACCAACGTCATCAAGGTAATCTGCAGAGACGAGGCGGAACTGCATATGGTTCGAGAAGCGGCGCTAGGAGCAAATATACCAGGAGCAAAGATCTTGAGAGAGCAGCTATATTCGGTCAAGATTAATAGGCTAACCGTTCGGTCGTCCTGGACTCGTACGACAACCCTCTTCCCGGGGTCGCCGAGGCACTCGGCTAAGAGAACGAAGTGACAATTACTAGGATGAACTGGCTCAGCGACAAGGGGAACGGCAAAGCATACAGGTCGATGGTGATCTACGTTACGAAGGAAAGTGACGCAAGGCGACTCTTGGAAGGTAAGTACTTTCACCTCGCTGGAGAATCGGCGAGGACCAGCGTTGTCGAACCCAAGACCGGTGTAGTGCAATAATACAACTGCTAGGGCCTAAGCCACAAGACATTCGTCTGTAAAGAGGCGCAGAGATATAGCAGATGTGCAGAGTGAGGACACTACCATGGACAATGCGAGACAACAGAGCCAATATACATATCGTGCGGAGGACAGCACGAATCATTCCGTCAGGCATGTCGATTGCGACAAATGCGAGGAAATAAGCACTAGGCTACAAGTATACCAACTGAACGTACGGAAGAACGACAAGGTGCATCTGAGCATAATGAACGACAAAGACCTTGGAGACTACGCAGCGTTGGCGGTGGCAGAGCCGTGGGCATGCACAATCGAGGGATAGGTGATGACGGCGCCCAACCACCACAGAAACTGGATGAAGATGATCCCCACCCAGACGCATGAGCCACGTGAATCGCGATGGCCGATCCACAGCATGCTCTGGATACGGAGGGATTTAGAGGTACAGCAGATCCCAATAGCATCGTCAGACCTAACGAGAGCGATCATCGGGTTCCCCGAGAGAGATGTGCTGGTGGTGTCGGTGTATGTAGAAGGGAGGAACGCGCGGGCACTCGAAGTCGCAATGAGGCAGCTACACACGGCGATTGCCGAGTTCCGCCATGGATCCGGGAGAAGAACTGACGTGATCTTGGCAGGAGACTTCAATCGCCACAACATGCTGTGGGGAGGCGACGAGGCGACGGAAAGAAGGCAAGGCGAAGCTGGGCCGATCATAGAGCTAATGGGGGAACATGGCCTCCACAGCCTGCTGCCCCGAGGTACGAAGACGTAGGAAGGTCCGGGAGGTAGAGCGAGTACGATTGACCTGGTGCTGGCGTCGATGGAGCTGGCGGCCGAAATAACGAACTGTGGAATACATCCAACAGAGCATAGGTCAGACCATCGGGCGATCCAAACGGAATTCAACACAACACCGCCGGAACGACCACCCAGCGATAGACTGCTATTTAAGAATGCATCTTAGTTGGAGATCAAGGAGAGGGTGAGGACGAAGCTGGAAGCATTGCTGTGGGGTGGCACAGTGCAGATTCAGACGGACAGGCTGATATCGGTGGTTCTTGATGCGATCAACAGTCTGGTCCCGTAAGTTAAGCCATCGCCATACGCCAAGAGATGATGGACGACGGACCTGACCCGGCTGCGGCGGATATACACGTATTGGCGAAACCAGGCAAGAGCATGCCGACGACGAGGACGGGAGGCAGCGGATGTAGAACAAAAGGCCAGAGAAGCAGCAAAAGAATACCACGATGGGATTAAGAGGCAGAAAAAGGTATATTGGGACAGCTTTCTTAAAGATAGAGCCAACATCTGGCAATCGGCCAAATACCTCTCGCCGGGAGGCGAAGCGACAGGTGATAAGATACCTCCCCTGAAGAGAAGAGATAGAACGACGACGAGCGACAAGGCGGAGCAGGCAGAGGAGCTTCTCAGCGTTTTCTTCCCGCTTCTGCCGGCTGTAATCGAGGATGAAGGGCCCTGGCCTGTGCAGCGAGAAGTAGCGATGCCAGAGCTGACATTGGAGGAGGTGGAAGAGAAGGTGATGGCGGCCAAGGCACGGAAAGCTCCGGGCGAGGACGGACTGCCGGCGATGGTGTGGAAGAAGCTCTGGCCCGTAGTGAGAGACCGGGTGCTGCATCTGTTCCGAACATCCCTGAGAGACGGAGAGCTGCCTGCCCAGTGGAGAAGTGCGAAAATCATCCCGCTCAAGAAGCCAGACAAGGACGACTACAAGGTGGCCAAGTCATGGAGACCAATCTCACTTCTATCAACGCTGGGCAAGATCCTAGAGGCGGTCATTGCGGACAGGATCTCGTACGCAGTAGAGACATTCGGACTGTTACCTACAAACCATTTCGGCGGGAGAAAACAACAATCGGCTGAGCAGGCACTCCTGCTCCTCCAGGAGTACATCTACAAAGTGTGGTGCAACCGGAAGGTACTCAGCCTGATAAGCTTCGACGTGAAGGGGCTTTCTACTCCAACCGGTCCGCAACGATTGTAGTAAACGGCTACACCCCTGAACGACGGGAGCTGCCACAGGCCGGACTCCCGCAAGGGTCGCCCTTGTCACCGGTGCTATTCCTTTTCAAGATCGATGCAAAGGGTGGATCGATTGCGTTTATCGACGACTACTCGGCCTGGGTGATGGGTCCGACAGCAGAGGCCAACCGAGCAGGCGTTCAGGCTGTCATCGATAATGCACTGGAGTGGGAGAGATGGAGTGGGAGAGATGGAGTGGAGCGACGTTTGAGGAAGATAAGACGGTCATCATATACTTCACGCGCCATCCTAAATGCACCGACGAAAGCCTCTATATAATTAAAGGCCAAACAATCAACCCAAAGAAAAGCAGCAAGATACTGGGACTGGTAATAGACTTAGAGTTGCAGTATAAGGAGTATATAGCGAAAGCAGCTACGTGGAGCCTTCGAGCGGCCATATGTCTATGAAGATTGAAGATGCTAGCTCTCCGAACGGCGAGGTAGCCGTTTGTGGCAACAGTAGCCCCGACGATGGACTATGCCTCTACCATGTGGTCTCACCGACGCAGCGTAAGGGAGATAAAGTGGCTGAATGAGGTACAGAAGATGGACGCGCAAGCAATTACAGAAGCCTTTAAGACAGTATCAACAGCAGTGGCGGGAGCAGAAGCTAGTATTATACCAGTCAGCAAACGTCATACGCAGGCCGGCACGCAGGTCTACGTCAACATACAAACGCTGCCGAAGACGCACCTACTTGTGACGCTTAGGGTGAGGGAGATATGGAGGTATCTGTCGCCGTTAACGAAGCTGGCACTTACCCACGATGGTGCAGTAGAGCGGATAGAAACGATCCAGCTATATGCACTACCACTATAGCACGGACATATAGTGGTGGAGTAAGACTTAGGCAGGAAGGCAATAGCGGATGAAGGCACAGATGACGAGGTAACCGAGACCAGCAATATGAGAGAAGTGCGCATCGCAACGAGTGCCTCTGTGAGGAACGGAACAGTAGGCATGGGCGGCGTGGTGCGCAACGCCGCCAGCGGAAGAGCGGATGATGTAGTAGCAAGGTACTCTGTCACTCTTGGTCCGAGAGACGAGCAGAATGCATACACAGCCGAGCTGGAAGCGATAGCAGTAGTCCTCAGGTGCATGCCTGATGGGCTCCGGCATCGGGATGTGATCGTTGTAACGAGAAACCGATCGGCACTGCAGGCAATTGCAAAACCTCAACAGCAGTCAGGACAAGGCACCATCCGGGAGATCTATAAGTATGCCGAACGACTTAAAAAGGGTGGCAACACCATTAAGATGCGTTGGGTATCGGCCACAAATAAGTCGTTCATACTGGGAGCAAAAGCAAAAGCGGAAGCGCAAAAAGCAACAGATAGCGGATACAAAACAACGAAACCGCCGTACCAGACCCGATCGACCCAACTGAGAATACTATTAGCACAACGTCGACAGCGCATGGCGCTACCTGAAAGCTTAGGCGGCTATTCGAAGCGGCTCGACAAGGCGCTGCCCGGCAAGCACATAGTCACATTATATAACCCCCTGAAGAGACGCGAATCCGACATCCTGGTACAGCTGCGAACGGGGATGGTGCGGGTCAATAGGTATCTGCATAGGATAGGCGCAGCGGAGATAGATACATGCGACTGCGGCCAGGAAGAAGAAACAGTCGACCATTTCCTCTTCTGATGCATACGATGGGACGAGCAACGAGGGCACATGCGAAATGTCGACCAAGGAAAGGTGGGCAATCTATCGTTCTTTTTAGGAGGCAAGACAGCAGAGGACGGGTATAAGTGGAGCCCAAACTTACAAGCAGTGCGAGTAGCGATCAAATTTGCAATAAGCACAGGCCGTTTGGATGCTACACAGACGGAAAAAACATACTAATCAATCAGATAATACAACAAGAACTGACATAGTACAGCCTCTAGTAGACAGACCAGGCTTCAGCTGCTGAAGAAGGGATACTAAACACTTGGAGAAGTTGGCCTTCAAGCAGGCCTGTCGCAGGGGCTGAGAAAAGTGGCGGGGTGTAAGGATTGGAGAGGTTGAGGGTCTAAGGGCTAAAAGCCGGAAAAACAATGTAACGAGATTTAATGTTGTGGGCTCTATGAGGCGTATCCTCCCGGGCGGAATAAATTCATTCATTCTTTCCTTTTATATATCAATCTGTAGCCTATTGAATGGGGCTTCCAGCGGCATCTTCAATATTTTGTATACCAGCTATGTGCGCGAACTACAGCCTGCATCCTGCGTTTCATCGAAAAGATTAGGTTTTACAGCACCTCCAGATCAATCTCTTCCCACAGCTCAATCGCAGCTTCAATAAGCCGCTGCTTAGATTCCTCGTTTTTTAGCATCGTCGAGAGCTCAGGATATCGCTCGCAGACCCTTGTTTTGAGTATTGCCCATAGATTTTCAATGGGGTTGAGATCCGGGCTGTAAGGCGGCCAGTCTATGATCTCGGCCCTTCTGTTCTCGCACCATTCTAGCAGCCAGCTCATCATCAATCGCGACCGAAAAAGAGGGGAATCATCGTGCTGAAAGCGGCTATTTCTAGTGACAATTTGAGGAAGGTATTGCTGCAGGCATTCAAGCAGAACTCGCGCCGTAACGCCGCCACGATCAGAATCCGGATCGCCGTAAAGAGGGACCATTGGAAGGCGCCTGCGATAGTTGAAGGCGCTGAAAAACATCTGCGAATGCCTCGTTGGAGTGACTCGGGTCTGAACATTCTTTCTGAATAGTCTCTCATGCTAGGAACGGTCAGGGAGGTCACAATTGCAAAGAGATAACATACCGGCTTACAGAAGCACCAAGTGCGTCTCTGGCCCTCGCCTCGGGCCACGATAACTTCATCCGAGAAGGTCCAAGACTCCCAGAAATCTGTAGACATATGCACATATCGCCTAGCAAAGCGAAGGCGTTTTCTGGCCGTAGCCTCGCCGATAAAGGGCCGGATAATTGACTTGAAATGCATAATGCCCTCGCTTCTTAGGAACGCTAGAATCGTCTTCCTAGAGCAGCTCAATCCGGCCTCCTCAATCAATTCCTTGATTTGGATATGAGGGTCATTCTCTATGACTCTCAGTATTCGTATTTTTCCCCGATTTCCTAGCTTGCGCGGCCGGCCGGGCCTGGGTTGATCTTGACCACTCTTTTGGTCTCGATACCGCCGTACCACACTGTAAATCGCGTGCCGACTTAGCCCCTCTTCGCGTGCGATTGCGGTGGCGGACACACCCGAATTGTACCTCCAAACAATCCTCGTTCTTGTATGAGGTGATTGATGTACTTGCGACACCATTCTGACTTAATTTGGCTGCGCAATGAGTCGCTGAAGTTAAGTGTTGATTATGGTGTAGGTAGAGGGAAAGCGGGGACCCCGCTTTCTAACCATACGCCATACGCCATACGGACCTGAATGGTTTATGGTGTATGATTTATTCTCGTATGGCGAACTAAACCATATATTGCCCATACGGCAAATGACGTCAAACCGGTCAAGGGCCCACATCTTCCCCTAGAGCGCTGGTGCTTCCCTCCTCTGCCATGTACTCGTATTGTTCAACCTCGTCTACTTGTAGCCCTACCGTTATACCGCTGCGAATCCAGCTCTTTAAGCACTCCCCCTTTTCAATTGTCGATGCTCCAAGGAGCATTCGATCCCACGAAATTGTACGCCGTGCTCCAGAGAATGTACGCTCAGGGTCAGCAGATATGGCGGGTATTGAGAGAATGTCTATTGCCATCTTTGATAGTCGGGGAAAGCGCTCCTTCTGCTCATCGCGGAGCCACCAGGCAAGGGGGGAGCAGTCGATTGGAATGGGTGGCTGGGAGGTGTAGGTTTTGTATTCGTCAACGTCGGGCTCTGTGCCTATGATATTAAGCTCCTGTGCAAGCAGGTCATACTCATCCAGTTCCAGTGCCGGAACAATGGAAAGAGTAGTATAAACAGTTGGCAGGTTCTTATATTCGTCTTCCCACAACTTCTTCACTCCAGTAAAGATCTTCTTATACTATGCCTTTGGCTAATTTTTCTATATATAAGCCTTTCCACGGGATAGATGGAGAATAAGCGCTGCACTGTATGCCGGGCTCTCATCGGAGAGCTGGTAGTATTTGTCGAAGATATACCAGCTCGTCAGTACTAGATCAAGTAGCTATTAGTTTATCTTATATTTATTAAATGCTTGCTGGTAATGCTTGTAAAGGATGTCCATCGTAAATAATATACGATCGAGTGTTAAATAATATCCCTTAGTAAGGAGAGTTATCTTTTAAAATAGCTGTAGAAAGTTCCGCATCTCGCGAAGGTTTTACCAATCCTGTGGTGCTAAGTAGTCGTCCACAAGGGCGTCGTAGTACTTGTTCTGATACTACTTGATATGCTCCTCCTTATTAAGAGCAGCATCGAGCAGAAGAAACCATAAGTTCCAGTGTGTATCGTTGTCGAGCCCGAGGATTTTGCCGGCACGCCTCTGAAAGAGATTATACCTGTAATCGTTCGCTCTAATATGGATAGCAGTATTATGCAACTTGCCGAGCGCACCGAGTTGACTCCAGCCACGGTCCTTTCGCTTCTTCCAACCCTGCATCATATCAATGTTGAACGAAGCTTGGTCCATCTCTTCAATCTGCCTGCAGGCTTCAAGCACAGCCTCTTTGCTATCTATGAAAAGAAACACTTGGACGCAAAGGTTGACAATGTGGCTATGGCAACGAATCCGTTGGTGTCTTGCATTCCAGGCGACGCCTCGTCCATCAAGGAAGTGGCTCAATAGACGATATAGCATATTATTGGAACCGTGATTATCTCCTGTAATATATCCCAGCTGGCGTGAGATGCCGTACTCCTCAATGACTGGCTGAAGGAGCTTCCACTGCTTGGCTCCGCTGTGGCTTCCAGGGCCGTCTATGCCAGGAAGTTCAGGTAAGGCCAGCAGTGCCTGGCAGGGATTTTTCGTGCCTTCCTACATAAATTGCACACATATTCCTAGGAAAGCTTTGTGGTTTGGTGTGCTCCATACGTCAGCGGAGAGGTGAAGCTTGGCAGGTGAGGATTGCAGCTTTTTTCGGAGAATATCTTTGTGGATTGCATATGAGTTTGAGCAGAGTTTTTGGATATGGCCGTGGGAGGTATTGATAAGCTCTTCTGCAGTATAATTTGCCGCCATGAGCAGAGCGTGCAACTCTGGCTAAGTATTGCAATTGTATGGAAGATTGCGGACAGTAACCAGCTGGACTAAGGCTTCTATTGCAGCCTTTGGATTAAGTGCGTTCCGAAGCACTTGCTCCTCTCTTTCTTGAAGCTTAGTAACCTTAATCTCGCCAGCTTTGTTGAACGCCTCTTTAATGAGGCTGGTGTGTGCTTTCTTGGTTGAATTTGGCTCTGAGCCAGCAGCTTCAACTGAGTGTATCTTAAGTAGGTGGTTGCGGAATGTGGTAGACACGTATGTGGAGTACAGTGGGTTGCTGCAGTATTTGCAGTAGAACACTAAGTCTTGCTTTGGCCCAGCGCGCTCAGGCTCGGATCCTTGAGGTTTTCGGGTGTGTTGCCACGTCGCATCGGCCGTAGTGATGCGTTTGCGCTTTGGAGTTGTTGAAGTGGAAGATTCAACGGAGGGTAAGCTCTGCCTATCAGGTATCTCAGAAGCCGTCTCGATTGTTGCAGCTATGGAGGACTCGCGTTCACTAGGCGTGCGGCTGAGGAAGGAGTCCATCGCAAGCAATCAACAGGTATTATGGCTTTCCACTAGCTTTGTGGTGAAGTGTCGCGCGACATGGAGGCGTGGCTAGCTGACGGCCGGTCAGAGGGTCCCTCAGTGAATCGGGTAACGAATGAGACTTGATTTCTTTCTCAAGGCGTGGAATCGTATGAGACTATATGATCTGGAATACTGTGGCTGCCTGCAAGGCAGCAGCTGTTGCCTACCAGGCAGGATCGTACTACCTGTTCGCTATAAGTGAGCGACTTGATCTTGACATGAAGTCTGAAAATGTGACTCGAAGCGATCTTCATAGTTGCCTTATGCCTAGGATTGGAGCTACGGAGACGTTGCACAGCAGTACCAAGTTACCCACGCCTAGCTTAAGCAACCGATTTGCCATTCAAGTATCCTTTATACCTTATGGATCTATTGGAAAGAGCGGCCTTTCAGGACCAGGAGGATGGTCAAGTGTTCTAGTGCCGCCGATTTCCTTACCCGACTATTTTTGACTCGGAGCAACTTTATCCCGCGTATGATCATATATGGTCATACGCCTCAGACTGTATGGTATAGGTGTATGGGCAATATATGAGTAATATATGGTTTAACTAAACCATACGCGTATGGTTAGAAAGCCTGGTAGATGATAGTAGAAGGAAAATCAGATCAGAGTAAGACAGCTAAACAGTGAGACAAAAGTTGGCGACTCGCTACGCTACAGGTTTTCTTTTTAATACAATCATTAACTACTATGTACTACTACTACTGTTTATTCATAACAACCGATAGGGTGGTACCGGTAGTACGATGATTGTAGTCGGTATAAGTTCGGTTGTTGTTAGATGACGTTGCTTTTTATTAGGTGACGCACGGACGAAAAGGTGGTTTCCTGTACAGAATGCAGAATGCGGACAGAAAACGACATGTCCTTTGTACAGCAGTAGTAGTAGGATCGTGGTGTGACTGATGACCTTGAAGTGTGAAAGTACGGTGAGAGATGATTGCGAGATATCAGCCTTCATTCAGAAAGAGGACTTCACGACTTTTATGTATAGTACTAAGATGTATTTCTTTACGTGAGTTTGATAAGGCATCCCAATTTCCGCTCCAAAAGTCTGCCGCTGGACTACAAGACGAGCCATACAAGTCGGGTGCTTACAAACCGTAACTTCAAATCCACCAGAATGTAATGTAAAGCCTATAGATCACTGACCGTATTAATACGGCCAGAAGTCTGCCGCTAGACTACAAGACGAGCCAGACAAGTCGGGTGCTTACAAACTGTAACTTCAAATCCACCCGAATGTGATGTAAAGCCTGTGGATCACTGACCGTATTAATACGGCCAGGGCGGGGCCACCCGAATGTGATGTAAAGCCTGTGGATCATTGACCGTATTAATACGGCTAGGGCGGGGCCACCCAAATAATGTAAAGCCTGTGGATCATTGACCGTATTAATACGGCCAGGGCGGGGCCACCCGAATGTGATGTAAAGCCTGTGGATCATTGACCGTATTAATACGGCCAGAGCGGGCCCGCCGGTGGGGCTTGCGGAAGCTGCGGCTCGAGCACTTCGGACTAATATTGGGGTCAGGTCGGGGTAATTCCATTCTCGGAACTGAGTCCGGACTTGGCCTCGGGTTCAGACGCGGACTGTCAATTGGGGAATATGAGGTAGTGCGGTTTATACCGCGGGCGCTAATGACAAAGCTTCAATGTGCGAATCCGAAATATAAAGAGAAAGGATATGATATAGTCCGAACTAATCATCATCGAACATAATTTCTCAACTACTCACTTCAGTCTATTGTCATGGCTTCCCTCGAGTTAACCCCTGTCTTCAATGTCAACGTGTCGGTGTCTCTCCCGACTGGAATGGGACCTGGCAATGAATTTTCTGACCTTACGGTTATAAATGGTTCGCTTAATCCATCTAGTCAACCTCTACTGAACACTTCAATACTTATCGGACTTCAGGGGAAAATGGATACGTCGAGACGATCGACGGGAAAACCAGGTTTGAGATTACATCAATTTCTGACTGGCTGGTTCTGGGCCAGAATCAAACCACTGCAACTGTGGATGCGAGAATGAGCTCGGTCGGCCCGAAGGGCATCAATCTAGACATGCATTATCTGGGTAAATTCAAACTCACCTCAAAGACGAACGAAGTGTTCGGTGGCACCCCCGGAGCAAGCTTTGATTTTGGGGAAGAATACTTATATGTAACTCCAAGAATCTCGAGTCGATCTGCGGAATTTGGATGGGTTAATAATTTTGTGTTTGTGGGTATGGGGAAAGTAAAGACGGTCCGAGAAGGTGCTGGTATTGAGATCTCATACCTCATCCTCAGAGTCGGTTAATTGGAAGAATTACATAATCGAGCTAACATAAGCCACTAAATATTTGGAGGCATGTTGGAACACCAAGGCTCCAGGGAGTCACGTGTGAGACCGGGGTTTGTCGGAGGGAGCTCGCCAAGCCTCCGGCCGGCTAGCCTATATTAGGAAGCAAGGAAAAGAGGGGAGCTACAGAGATACGAGAATACACACATGTTCGAGGTCATCAATTGGTCATACGTGCTATCCAACATAAATAAAGCTTAAAAGAATTGAAAAGCTTTCCTTTTTTAAAGTAAAGAATTTAAGTCTAACTAGAGATCTCTAAAACATTATTTACATCAGGGTTTAGTTTATGTTTATAGTGAAATTCAATGGGAAATAGGAATCTATCGTTATAGGTTAGACATCGTTACATCCGTGATCGTTATACGCCTGTCTACTGTATTGTTGTCTGTTGGATATTTAAAGGAAGCTGATTCTAGTGCTTATCTTTCTTTGACCCCCGCAAAGATTCCACACTTTATAAATCATACCATCACATCCAATAAACATCCTAGCAATGCCTTCTCTCCATGATCTCGCAGTCCCCAAGGGCTCGACGGTTCTCGTTACCGGAGCCAACGGCCTTTTGGGCTCGCATGTTGCTGACCAATTCCTCGAGTATGGCTACAACGTCCGTGGTACTGTCCGAGATATAGGGAAGAACGCTTGGCTGGCCAATGTCTTTGAGAAGAACCATGGGCCAGGACGCTTTGAACTTCACCAGGTGGCAGACATGGCTGCTGAAGGGGCTTTTGACGAGGCCGTTAAAGGTAGGTTCAGGTTTCGGAAACACCATGAAAGGTACTCACAACCATCAAATGGGCGTCTCTATCGTCGCCCATACAGCCTCCATCATGTCCCTTGATCCCGACCCACACAAGGTCATTCCCGATGCTATCGCCTTTGTTGTCAACGCTTTGAAAGCGTCCTACGGCGAGCCCAGCGTGAAGCGCTTCGTCTTCACCTCGTCGTCCGCCGCGACCGTGTCTTCGGCCTTGGACACGCCAGGTATTGTTGTTACTGAGGATACCTGGAACGAAGATGCTGTCAAGAAAGCTTGGGCAGAGCCTCCTTATGGCATGGATCGCGCGGGAGCTGTGTACGCAGCGAGCAAGACCCAGGCGGAACAAGAAGTGTGGAAGTTTCACAAGGAGAACCGAGAAAACCGCCCTGATCTTGTTGTCAATACCGGTAAGTCTGACTTGCACTTTGAGGCGGTGCACCTCGACTAATCAAGTCCAGTTCTTCCAAACTTTAACTTCGGCAAAGCTCTTGATCTAATTAACCAAGGATACCCTAGCAGTTCTGGATTTCTTGTTGCTCTGTACAAGGGAGAAATAACGTTCGTGCATAAGCTTGTTGTGCGCCGTAAGTGCTGCCTATTGTCGGTCGATACAAAGTAATGAATATTAACTCAATATCTCTAGAGTACTACGTCAACGTCCAGGATACTGGTAGACTCCACGTCGCCGCAGCTATCTTCTCTGGCTTGGAGGGTCAGCGCATCTTTGCATTTGCAGGACGGTTCAGCTGGGACCAGGTTCTGGAGATCCTACGTAAGGATCAGCCAGAGAAGAAGTTCCCCGACAACTTTTCAGGCGGGGAAGATCTTAACGAGATTAAACCTCGTGATAAGGCAGAGCAATTACTTCGGGACTTGGGACGACCGGGCTGGACAAGTTTGGAGGAGACCATATTGGATAACGTCAAGGATCTGAAAGAGTAGCAAGCCGATGTCACACAATCTATGACGTCTAAATGACGATGACGGACGAGGCACGTTGGATTAGAATCTAGGAGCATACACGATAAGTGGTGGGACTTCACAGTGTCACCAGGTGAGTCACGGCGACATCGGAATGAAAGAGCTCTGTTTTGCTTCTATATTGTACTGTGATGTATGGAGAGCATGGACAAGCAGCCTCTGAATTCCAACATTTGGATCACAAATCATGCCACGAATCCCCTACCACACGAGCCAGCGATAGCAAAAACCCAAAGGCCTGCCTTTAGTAAGGAGTCTCGCCGTTGCTGTAATCAAGTTAGTTAATGCCACCTTACAGACTCGAATTGGCTTACTACCGTAGTTTCCAGCCGGGGAGTAACGAGCAACAACATAGGTCCCGCCGTTTCCAGATGCAACTGCCATACCGACCTTGGTACTCTTGCTTCAGACGATTTGCGCTGCGATAAGTCAGTACAAAGACATTGCGTTAGATCACAATAAAAACTCACTGTAGTGGCCATAGGAAGAAAAGTCACCCTCGCCAATAGCTTCGCCGTTGTAGCTCGACTTCTCCTCAATCCACATCTTGTCAGCATTGGCAAACGGCGAGTCAGTGGCAGACTGCATGTACAGGTTCTCGCCCTGGCCGCTGCCCTCAGAGTGAGTCAAGCTGCCGACCGAGATGAGGTGGGTAGCCCACTCCTGGGCATTGTTGGCGAGGGTTTCGTCCCAGACCTGAGCAACTTGGCCAACCACCTTGCGGGCGGCGTTGTGGGCGTCAAGAGCGGCCTGCTGGTCGGCAGTAAGATCCGAGGAGGATGGAGAACTAGGTATTAGTATCGTTCACATATTTCCTCATGTCCAGTATGCCTATCAGCTCTGTTCTGTCATCTGCGTTGGATAGGAGGAGCAATGTCATTTTGCACCCTTCGTGAGACACAGAGCTAGCGTATATATTCTTTGCACGCCCAGAGTCGTGGCCTAGAGTAGATTTCCTACAGCCGCATAAGACCCAGCTGGAGGCAACGTCTTCTCTTGCTGTCCCGCCCTGGAGAACACATCCTAGTACTACGACGTTGCCTCCACCGGCATCGGCAGAAACAAGACAGGCTACACATGCACAGTGGGAGTCGGGGATCACCGTGGTGACGCCGCTGAAGAGGAACCGCTGGAATCTGAATATCGAGGCGACGCTCGCCTTCCAGAGGTAATGCCAGACCCCGCTCCGCATCTTCATTTCCGAGCACAAGTGGAAAGACGGCCAGCCGGCGGAGGAAGCCCTCATGATGTTGGGACAGGGGGACGATAGCGCTATCCCGGTGTGTGCCGTCTTCATGTTCGTTCACGGCAAGCCCGTCGTCGTGAATTACAACACACACCAAGGTCTGAAGCTGGTTAATGGTGCCAGCTATATATCAGTGGAAATCGTTCTTGGCAAGGTGCATCTAGAATATTGGATCCATGCTAATACTGCGCTGTACTTCAGCCCACCAGCAGGAATCCTAATGGCATTAGAGATAGCTAAAGACTTCGATTTTATTAATATACTGGCTAGTATAATCTTACTGATATCTATAAGTATTAAAATAGAGTGCTAGAGAAAGCAGCCGTGGCCACCCAAGTAGCATCTTAGCTAGGCCCGACTGTACTGAAACTCTCAAGTGCCTGACAGCACCATCACAGAACGACTGTGAAATCATTGCGAATGTACTACCATATATATCAGGTGCAAAGTGAAAAATATTAAATTGGATAAGAGTCAAATGATAGTCGGCGCAGAAAGTGGTCCAAATATCTGATCATCGCTTCTCATCCTTCCTCTTCCTACCGGCGCCCTACCAGACAGCTCGCTAGTCATAGCCACCTCGTACGTGACCTTGATATTGGGCTTGTAAGTAGTAGCATCAGGGACACACTCTTGCTGATCCACCTCCACTGCTCTCAAATCTGACGTTGATGAATAGATTTCTGCCTGAACTCTATATTTCGAATCATCTGTTTCTTTCACAAAATTGCCCTGCTTTGGTACAGGAAATACGTCGAGTGCCAAGTTATTGTTGCTTCGTCCTCCGGAGGCCGTTGGCATACGCTCAAATGTCGTCCTATTGGGTCGAGTCAAGGTGTAGGACTTGTTCGAACCGTCAGTCAATTTTGAACTGAAACCAGGGACCAATCTAGCAAGAAGAGGCCGCAGAGTGGCTAAAGATGCGCAGATGATGGCGCAGTTTATCTCGACAGCGGTCCACCATGCAGCATCTGTCGTGTCCCACGTCGGGTCTGGTGTAACAAGGCATCGGTGGAGCGTCGTGGCTCGAATGATAGATATGATGCATGTGCTTTACGGTGTCGAGGCAGTTAGCCTTGAGCGTCCATAAAGTATCTTCAACTTAAAAGAGATAAATTCAAAACTTACAAAAGTCCTATAGAGAGAATAGCTGCCAGACAAAGCTTCCGCCTCCACCCCATATTTAGAGAAAACACGGTTGGCAAGGGGGCAATGAAGATGATGAAGTCGGTAGCAATATGGAAGTAAGCCGTGAAGTACCAACTAGGGAAAGTCGGGAGGCAGGTATCCGCCATGGCTGGCACTATAGCGGACAGGGGAAAGCAGGTAAGTGCGAGCACTGGTATCTGGACGACGGCCCATGTTGAAATGACGCATAAAAGAAGAAGGGTGACTCGTTTCATGATCTTGTTCGAGAATATACGACGATACTGTAGTAGAAAAGAAATCTTGATAAGGTTTAATCCTAAAGTATAAATAATAATACCAACATAGAGAGCCTAATATAGTTAACAATAGTGAGTCTAAGATTGCTTGATTGCGGGAACGGATACGGACCGTTAACTGTTTGTGGATACGATCTGGCGGTAGAGTCCATATATGACGACCAAGGGCAAATTTAGCCTCTGGGACAGTTCTTAGAATCCATCTGTCTGCAAATAACAATAGGACGACGTACGTAATATAGTCGTTATAGAAACGACGATGGAAAGGACCTGGGCAAAATTCATTAGCTGACAGTCCTCCCTAAGAGATTTTTCGTTAAGAGAAGTGTACCTGAGCAACGCAAATCGTCCAGTCATCGGGACCCAGGGCCTTGAGAAGAACAACGCGAACGTAGAGCCTCAAGGCGACGATCAAAAATGACAATACCACGAAGGAGATGCAGATCGCTATGACAAGCGGCGATCTGGACTGCGCATCGACAGCCGGATCCGAGCCGGGGGTAGCCATTCAGCAAATGGTCGATGACTTGATGTGGAACAAAGGAATTATCCAAGTAGGTGGAGCAGACCTGGATCCCCACTCTTAAAGGAAAGAATCCGGTTGAGGCAGTGGTCTGCGACTGGGTTGTATAAATATGAGGGGTGCAGATCCATTAGCTAATAAACATGGGAGTCTTGTGCAATTTATCTAACTAATATCAAACAGCCACAGCGATACTAGTCCTTGAGGTGTTGGTCTACCAGCGTTGACGAGGCTTGCAGCCGCAACTACACACAAGGAAGGATTCTGACTCACGCAACCCCTCTCTGATCGCATGTGCGCTATGGCGTAGTCCGCCGCGGTACGTGGGTTGTACTTGCGTATAGAGACAGATGAATACATTGCCGTAAGCGCCCGGCTATGGCACCAAGGACGGCGTACGAAAATATCGGACTCAACAAATGGCATGGCTTGACAAGATGGGATGGGCATGATGATTTCTCCTCGTCATCTTGACGGGGTGGTAGTCTCTGCAAGGGTGGTATTGGTGAGCCTAGATTTGGAGGTGAGCTTGTTGAATAAAGTACCTGACGCTTCGTGCATGGGCCTGTCTTGTCCATAATTTGACTCCTCATCAAAGAGCTGCAGCCCGACCTGGTAGCTCTCACATCCGCCCACAAGTGCGAACTGTGTTTTGTCTTACTCATGGACATCCCCCAAAGACACTAAAGCGTCATTGCTGCTGCATCAGGCAAGGCGAGGTTCCATTTCAAAGATGGCTGCGACACTTGGTAGCTTGTAAAGTTGGCCCTAAAAACGCCCATCGAGGCTCGAAGAAAGCTGCCATTCTCAAAAGTACTACCAAAGGTGCATCAAGCTACCTGCAATAAATGTAGGTACAGGATCCTTAGAGGAGCATTATCATCTTTCACGCTCCCCGCACAGAGCGCGCAACATTTGTTCGCCTTCCTTTGCAGCTAGGGGTTTGCCGCTGAGGGCCTGCACCTAAGAGTAGAAGAAACCAGGCGTTGGACTAGAGACATGGCTTCACTTATGGCGGCCACCAGTCAGCCACTAGTCCTTCGGAATCATCCGCGGGAAGCAAGCCAAAGGAATGGGCTGGGCTCTCGGCACGCATGCCGAGCGTGGAAGCCCCTGAGTCCTTGCATTGATTTTCTAAGCACTAGAGAAGCCTCAAAACAGTATCCGTACATCACTCAGCAAATCTTATTGGCGCAACTTTGAAGAATGCTCGCGGAGCTTCCCGGCACCCACCATCTCTCCCTACTCCCTACTCTCCACATTCACCACATCAGCACTTTCCCCATTGAAGGGGCAATTAAAAACTAATCATAACGAACTGTCAACCCAACCCAGCGCTCGTCGCAAGTGACAGGGTAAAAGGCTTAGCCCCAATGTGTCTCAGAATCTGCACCCAGCGTCAGTCCACTAACTAGTGGAGATGATTGGATTGTCACTTCAAGGGATGATGTCCATTCAATTGATGCGACAAAAGCGGAAAGGAAAAAGATGTTAGATAAAGAGTATTGCTATTCATACAGTAAAGTCACGTGACACATTTTTTTTTTTACCCCGCATTCGGCATCTTCCCTGCATTACAGTAGTAGGCCAGGTGTTGTCAGTATTAAGTCGACAACTACTTAACATATCGTTCTAGGAACTGGATCTGCGCCTTGATGTTGTCTCGAAAGTAATCCCCCAGGTATATATCAAAGTGGCCGCATTCTTTCAGGTAATGCAACTGCTTCGGCTCCCGAGCCTTGTTGAAGGCATCCATCTGGGACGATGTTGAAACAAGGACGTCGTTGCCTGGGATGACAAACAGGAGCGGTGTGGGGGAGATCCTATGGATCATTGCCTGAGCCTCAAAACTGAGCATGTGCAGTTGAGTCTGAGACGTGACATAGTTTTCCCACTGGCTGCCACAATTCCCTTGCTCAATCAAAATGTCGTAGGCATCCTTGGTTGGGAACATGGCGTCTGTTTTAGACGGATCAGCAGACTCTCGATCAGGCGCAATCAGCGGTACAGTAGAATGACCCAGATCGGAAGTGATCCGTTTTCTGTCCTCCAGTAGCTCCGGAATGCGATGCCTGAACGCAAGAGATCGAGTCTCGCCAGACACGGCAGGCGCTTGAATGATGGCAGCTTTGATTCGCTTGTCTATCGCTGCCGCATAGATGACATTGCCGCCCGAGAAGCTACTGCCCCAGTATATTATCCTGTCGCCGTCGACACAGGGCAAGGTGATGGCATAGTTGAATGCGTCGAAGTAGTCGGTTTGCTGCAACGCTGGGTTCGACTCTTGTCGAGGTAGACCATCGCTGTCTCCCCAGTTACGGTTATCGTAGAGCAAGACGGCATATCCTGCCTCGTTGAAAGCGGAGGCGAACCGGGGCAGTAAGAAGTGGCGAGTGCCGCCAAGCTGTGTGAGACGTAGACAAGTCAACGATCCGGCATACCGTAGCATGACTGCTAAAGAGAAAGAGGCAGAACAGGGACGGGAAAGGGAGAAAACTAACTCCATGGGTCATGATGATGCATGGCGAGATCTCGTGCCTTGGATATAACCATCCGCGAAGAATGGTGCCATCGCAAGCCTTGAATTCAATGTCTTGACGGGGCAGAGTCATGTTCGCCGGCATGGGTATGAAAAGGAAAGTAACGGAATTATACTCGAGGCAAACGTCTTGTGATTTAATGACTGCGAATAGTTATATAGTCATCATGATTGCAAACTCTAGGTGCTTTCATGAGTCGGATGGCGATAAAGGGTTATTAAAACCTCATATGAGCCGTCGACTCCAAGACAGCTGCCGACGTTCCACCTGGGAGGGCACCCTGATGAGGTGGAGGCCGGGAGTCCGGAGACAGATCAATAATCAGTAAAGCCTCGATGACTTTAACAATGTGTCACAGCACTCTGCTCCTGCCAGCTGAGCCGTGTTGCCCCGGTACGATAGTGGCAATCATGTAGCTTGAAACCTTTCGTCTGTCCGAGACACCCCTGCAACCTCTGCATTCAAGCTGACTTGGGTGTTAAGGGTCTTTCGTATAGCGGCAGACGGCACAGGCCGACGATCTTGAAAGCATCAACAAACTGTATCTAGGCCGAGGCATATGTGGAGAAGACAAATTGGCCTAGCCAGCCCGTTCGTACCCCACGCCGCATTGAGGGTCACTCAAAGGCCCAAATGAAGAGGCGCGCTAACAAACACCTCTGGCATCCACAAATAAGCGGATGTAACGGGATGGAAACAACCCGCTCTTACTCGGCCGACTTGCATCAACTTCCCGGGCCCTGGGAACGAATGGCGTCATGTGATCAATTTATGGACTATATAAAAGCGGAGAAGCCGCGGTTCAACAGTCGATCATCTCCACTCCGCTGAGTTGGTTGCCAACCCCCGGAAACCTTTGCTGCAACGGTAGGCTGGGGCTTCAGGGCCTAGACTATGACGCCGAGTCAGGTCTGGAACACCAGGCAAAAGCAACTTTCATGCATCCACAAATAAGCGGAGAAGCCGCGGTTCAACGGCCGATCATCTCCACCCCGCCGAGTTAGTTGCCACCCCCCGGAAACCTTGTCGCAACGGTTGGCCGGGGCTTCAGGGCCGAGACTATGACGCCGAGTCAGGTCTGGAACACTAGGCAAAAGCAACTTTCGTAAGCAACGAGCTGTTCTCTTTCCTCATCCTCGGGTGAAGCTTCCGAGTTATGCCGACACCAATAATCACTGCCCGTATAGACTTCCTTCTGTTATTTTCAACAAACAAGACACTGAGTCATAACGCCGACGGCGGATAAGTCCAGCTTCTCTTCTATAGTGTATGGAAGTTCCGACGTGCTTAGTTCATGAGATTTCTCGCCATTTCTCACAACGAACTCACACAGTATCATCTTGAAACATCAGATATAATGTCTACTATGAAAGCGGTTGGCGTATCTGCCTATGGCTCCATCGACAATTTCGAGTCCCGTGACGTTCCGCGACCTGCAAGTCCGACGGGCCGTGATGTTCTTGTCAAGTAAGTTATTCAACTCCGCTCTGTCGCTTCATTCCTAACGAGATCGTCAGGGTCGAGGCTTGCTCTGTTAATCCAATCGACACCAAGATCCGGGCTGGCATCTACGACGACGCACCAGGTAAGGCTCCCGCTATAGTGCTACTCAGCCACTAATTGGGACAAGATTACTACAAGTTTGCTCCCAAAGGCTTCCACATCATTGGATACGATGGTGCTGGGACTGTTCTGGAAGTCGGCCCCGACTGCAAATTCTTCAAGCCCGGCGACGATATCTCGTGGGTTGGAGCGACAACTCGCCAGGGCAGTTATGCAGAGTACCAGCTCGTCGGCGAATTCCACTGCGCTCACAAACCCAAGTCGCTCGACTTTGTCGAGGCAGCGAGCTTTGGCTTGACTTTCGGAACAGCCTATCAGTCCCTGCGCCACCGGCTTGAGATTAAACCCAATGAGAACGTCGGAATACTGATTGTACGTGAGATTCATCTTCCATCAAGTGCTGTTTAGGAAAAAGTCTATCATACTTTGGCTGACGTGCTATCGCGCAACCTAGATTAATGGCGGCGGCGGAGTTGGCAGTGCTGCTATCCAGCTGGCACGCAACGTCTTGAACCTGCCAGTAGTGGTTGCTACTGCGTCTCGACAAGAGACTATGGATTCTTGTAAGCGGATGGGCGCCACTCATGTAGTCAACCACCGGCATGATCTTGTGGAACAAGTCAAAGCCTTGAACCTGGACGTCCCGATTAAGTATACCAACGCCAAGTGCCTGACTATCCACCATATACCTTGCTGATTACGCTGACTAGATATGTCTACATCCTGGCAAGGACTGAACAATATGTGGATGCCATCGCCAAAATCTGCGCACCCTTCGGCAAGGCTTGCACCATTGTCCAGGCTGACGTCAGTCTCTACGGAACCGAGTTCATGTCCAAGTCAATGACCTTCTCCTGGGACTGGCTCGGCTCTGCGGCGTATCATCGCACCAATGTTGAAGGCTATCACGACATGTTTACAACCTTGTCGCGCCTGATGGATGAGCGAAAGCTTGTCCCAACTCTTGGCAAGCGGTACAAGTTGACTCTTGCAGGGCTAAAGGAAGCCCATCGCCAAATCGAGTCCAAGACCACTGTAGGCAAGGTTGGTCTCGGCGTGAACGAGCCGGGCGAGGGTGTTCCCTTTGCTTGAGGTAGTTCGTGGCCTTGGCAAGGGACTGAGAGCACAAAACCGACGTCATTACTTAGGATAGATTTGACCTACATCAAATAGATATGCCTCAATTGAACTTTGGTAACACTGTCTGTACAGAAAATACCCCCACTGGTTCAGTCGTCTTTAGACCAGCTTGAGCAAGCATTAAATATAAAAGCCACCAAGTCTTTTAGTACAGCTAAGGTGAAGAATCAAGTCGATATATCGCACTAATAAGAGTCGGACGTGGCTCCGCGTATCATACATACAGCCGACCTGTGTGGCAAGTGCACCAGAATACAGGGGAGAGTGAAAGCAGGAGAAACGAAAAAGATACGGGTAAGGAAGGCGGGGTATAAAGTTTGCTTGAGCAAATCAAGCCAGCTCGGCGTTGCTAAGGGCAGGTCATGTGTCCATGTACTGACATCCGAATGTCCAGAGCAGCACTGTGCCTCGGATAAACGCAACACGATTCCCTGCGGGGCTACTAATACTGTGTAAAGTCGCAGTTGAATAGCTATATAGAGCCAATGTCCGTCCCCAAAGATTCAAGGACTTTATTCCACAGACTTCTTTGATCTGCACACTCCAATCAGTATACCTTGACCCTCAAGTATTTTACCCCTCTTAAAAGACGCTCCGAATCCAATACTTGCAAATTTCCACCATGCCTCGAGTTGTCAGTCAGATCTCCGGCACCCAGTGGGAAATGGATGGCCCGTCTACACCGACTCAGAGATTCTTCAAGCAATATGTCGATGCCGTAGACTCCAGAGGCTACGACAGCGGCTCCGGCCTCAAGTTCTACTCAGAGGACGTGGTCTTTCACAACCAGAACAACGCGGTCTATCACGGAGGGGATGAGATGTGGGCCTGGATGAAGAAACTGTTTGGCGTGTTCGAACGAATCCATCACGACTGGGTCCAGTTTCTGGAGATTGAACGCGACGATGGCACAAGCCAGATCTACACCCAGAACATTCGCAACCTGTGGCTTCGCGGAAACAAGGAGAGGGAGCCAACTGTCAGCATCCCTGTCACCATGATTGCCATCATCGGGAAGAGCAACGACGAGAAGACTCCGGAAGGATTGCATTTCAAGGAGGTCTGGCTGTATTGGGACACTGCTCTGCTTTTGCCCTTTCTTCCAAAGGAAGCTGTGGTCTTTAAGGCGGAGAATATCTTGCATGCAAACGAGGAATAGAGTGATAGTCAGAAACTCAATAGCTCCAATATAACGCTGCTGCTGGTTCGACTGGGACTCGCCCTTGGGTTCAGAACAACCATGAGTTGAACCATATTGAAAGCGATTAATAAAAGTGCTCAATCATTCCTATCGTCACGATCGTGATGTTCAAGTCCTCAAACGGCATCAGAGACTAGAGATAACGTCCGGCGACAATAGAAAGAAACACTGCAACTAAAGACAGGACCCTGTACAGAGGCGTACAATCCGCTAATGCGTCATTGCTCCGACAAACCAGCTTCAGGGGTCTCGGATGTACGGAAAGGGCTTCACATGGGTAAGCAGATAGTCGATAATTGGGTCCCTGCTGTCCCTGCTATCATGTCCTCTGCCGAAGTGTGGTGGGGTCAGTCATGCAGTGCCCACCGTTCGAAGTGGATCTCTGATCCAGCCTGCCTCGGCTCGCTGGTGGGCCCCGGAATGACCGTACCCGGAATGACCGTAGACACTGCCGACACCAGGTGGAGCGCAGGATTGATTACTATACATCCGACATCATGACACTATCGCTTACAGTGTTTAGTGATTATCCGCCTGGCCCTGAGTGCTTGGTCATCTCCCAATGTCTATCCCTCGTTTACTCTGGCTTGAGCCGGCTAGATTACTGAACATGCCGGCTTAACCATTGGCAAATATGCAGACACCTGGTTCATCCACGTGCGGCAAGGGCTATAATAACGATGGTGCTTTTGACGGACCTTTACTGGCCATCCATACCACCATTCAAACAAATCATCACTACCCGAAGATGAGTCTGCAGTACAAAGTATTTTTCAGCAAGCGTGCTTCGGCCACCCGAACTGGGCCAGTCGGTCATGACAACCTGAAGTGGGTTCCCACCACATCTACCTTGATCTACGGAACCAAAGACGCTGTATTGGTCGACGCGCAGTTGACCTCGAACGCGTCACATGAGCTTCTGGACTGGGTTGTTGCGAGCGGGCACAACATCACACACGTTTACGTCACTCATGCCCACGGCGACCATTTCTTCGGCAGCGCACTCATCCTAGAACGGTTCCCGGACGCGGTTCTGGTCGCAACCCCCGAAGTCGTGGCCAGAATGGAACTCGAGACTACGCCAGAACGTCTGACTGGTCTCTGGGAAAAGTTGTTTCCTAACCAGATTCCCCAGACGCTCAAGATCGCCCAGCCTCTTTCTCGGGACCATTTTGAACTAGAAGGCGAGAAGCTGGAGGTGGTCAGGACTGGCCACACAGACACGGATGACACGACGACTCTTTGGGTCCCGTCCATCAAGCTCGCTGTGACGGGCGATGCCGTGTACGCAAACACCCACCCGTACTTGGGCGAGTCGGGAACGGCCGCCAAGCGGAGCGAGTGGATTGATGCGTTGGACAAGATAGCCGCACTTGGACCTGAGCATGTTGTGGGTGGGCATAGCGATCCGAGCAAGGGGTTCGGGCCTGAAGCGATCCACGACACAAAGACGTACTTGGAGAACGTTGACAAGATCAGTTCCGACGCCGGTACGGCTGAAGAACTTTATGAGCGCATGTTGGAGATTTATCCTGAGCGTCTGAACCCAGGATCTCTCTGGGCAGGTGCTGTTTTGATCAAGCGGCCGTAACTTGGCCATCCTAGGCGATCCAGCGACATACAGGTAGCCAACTAGCCATACAAAGTGGCGGCAGTCATTCATTGATGCTCATTCCTTTAATCTCTTGTTCCTACTGACCTATTGTTCATTCCTTGCTCTAACTCTCGATGACCATCTATATTTCAAGGCTTCCAACAAAGTCAAGAATATCGTTTCGCAGACGGTCTGCGTAGCCAAGAACCAAAACTGTAGAAAGAGTTAGCCCTGTTCCCTTGCTATTGAGACGCTATTAACTCACCGTGCCCCCCTCCTTCGTATACGCGGAGTCTTGCCTGAGCAACCAGCTTTTGGATAAGCTCAGCACTCGCCTCGACAGGAACCCCTCCGTCACTTCCGCCGTGAATCAGAAGGAAAGGCTTGTCAAAGGTTTGCCCAAAAGTCTGTATCGCCTCTAACAGATCCTCAGACGTATAGATCTGGAGGCATCGCTCGACAGCAATTGGATCAGCCTCGGAAAAGATCCCTTCGAAAAACGCCAATTCCTTCTCTGAGAGCGAACCGGATGTTCCAACTCCAAAGGGGCCATTGAAGCCGTTGGCGATGAAGTTGGGTCTATCCTTTCTCAATGACATCAGCGTCGCATCCCAGACGCTGCGGGGCAAAGCCTTCGGGTTTTGGGAGAGGCGACAGGATGTGGGAGGCAAGTGCTAATCCATATCATGCCCTATCACTTCGTCAGTCTCCTTGTGTCAACAGCTTGACCTCTCGTCCTACTTACACGACAGTTTTCCTGGATGTAAGTGCTATTAGTGTACGCCAAAAGCGCCTCGCCCGTGCCCATGCTGGTGGCGATAAAGACAAAAGGCCCCGGCTGGAGTTTCTCCAACAGGCCCGCGACGTCATCCCCAAGCTCCTTGTAGCCGATGCCATTTCCAACGGCATTGCCGGTCCATTCGCTTTTCCCAAAGCCGCGTCTGTCAGGGGCGATGACCCGGAACCTGTGCGTCTCGCAAAGACTCAGCAGGATCGAGTCGTACATGCGGGATGAGAGAGGCCACTGGTGGAGGAACACGAGCGTGAGCCCTCGCGCTGCCTGAGACTGTTCTTTTGCATCGAATGGAGGCGGTCTATTTTCTGGGCCGTAATAGCGATAGAACAAATCCGTGCTATCGATCGAGCTGGGGTGTCGAGGCATGTTGGCTGCGTGGTATATCCGTAGGATAGTAAGTCAGTAACTGTCAGATGCGGGAATTCAATAAGGAAGAACAGGTACTAGTTAATATGTGAGCTCTTCATGCTGAAGTCGGAAGTAGGGGTGGTTTGGTCTGGTCTAGGGAAAGATTATAAATGAAGGCCGACGGACGTCTAATCACTCCATCTCTCCTGTTTCTGGCCGAGTCAGCTGCCGCACAAACAGTCGGATTTGATAATTATTAATTACGACGTCCAAGAACCGACCCATACTAGGCTGTCCATCAACCCGTGGGGTGCCGAGGTCCATGGCTCTCATAGGCTTGATCACTGTCAAGCTCTAGGGTCGTTGACTAGCCGAGACCTCCACTGCCAGATGATTGTTTCCCCGTTCTTCCCCGCCCGAGAAAACGTGCATGATCGGTCAAGAGCCGGTCAGACCGAACTAGTAAATGTAGGCTCAATTGGATCGAGTGGCCGGTGACATGGCGGAATTAAATAGTCTGTTTCCGTATTGCGATGTTGCGGGGTTTCCATCTAATCTGGGTTAAATGGCATGCTTGGGCCAAATGATCTTTCACAAGGGAGAGTGAATGTATTTGTCATTGGCTCGAACGACACTACAAACATCCAGTACAGTGATACGGTGTACAAGGTACTCTTAATGCTCCCCACTCTGAATGGAGTTCGCCTTGATGTGTGCTATAAAAAGACTTTCGCCGTGTCTTTGCCCCTCCAGCGTACCTTCAACGTTGGATCAACCATCACGTAACCTACCACCCAACCCTGTCAACTCAACTATGACTTCATCCAGCATGGATGGAGTCGGAGCACTCAGTGTTTGGGTGCACTCTCAACCCCCATAAATAGAACTGCTCAACCGGCACCTCTTAAAAGGACAGCTGCTTCTCATAGGAGAAGTATGTTATATATCGCTGCTCATTCCCAAGGGTGGATATTCATCTTCGCCCCCTTTCCATCTCGATATTGGTCCAACGCCTTATTGACAGCATCCGCGTCTAAACCCTTGATAACCTCAAAACTGCTGGGGCGAAGTTTCCCCTCCTTGAACCATCGAGGAACCTCTTCCCAGAACCCCACCGTCACTTCTGGGTGCATCGAAGATATGCCAAACACAAGGCGGCGTTCATACCCCGCAGACTTGGAACCTATCCGAGCAGCGTCAAAGTCTCCGTCAGGTCGACGAAGAGTGATCAAGGTGCCCTTCTTCGTGTTTGACAGCGCCGCGACACCGAGCTCTTGTTCCACGCCGGCATTGACCGTGTCAACCGCATAGACTAACTCATCCCCCGTGATGGCACGAATCTGGTCCAGCGCATCGGGGGCTCGTCGGTTGATGACGTGGGTAGCCCCGACAGACTTGAGGTTTGCTTCATTGCGATGGCCGGCGACTGCGATGATTCGGCCTATTCCTGCCAACTTGGCGAGCTCAACTGTGGCTCGTCCGGTGTTGGAGCCGCCTCCAATGACAAGAAGCGTGACGTTGGCATATTCGAAGGACTTTGCTTCCGGTGAGAAAGGAGGGGGCAAGCCATGGCCGGAGCTCGCGAAGAGGGCAATGAAGCCAGCCAACACAATGACGGGGATTGTAGATGCCTCATCGTTGCTCAGCCCACTGCCGGCCACCCTGCCTACAAACCTCGCATCGACAAGAGCATATTGCTGCGCTCCGTTGAAGTCATTGTGGAAGCCCCCCTCGGCAAAGGTGTGACCAAAAACACGCTCACCAACGATGAACTTGGCAGAATGCTCTCCGGTTCCCACAGTCACGACTTCTCCGACCAGATCGCTGGCAAGGACGTATGGCATGCTCGTGACGAAGAGGCCAACATCGCGGGTTCTCTGGTCATGAGGATTTACTAAACGCCAATTAGCTATGGTCCTCTTATCCTTCGCGGTGGAACTGTTTCCAAAACTTACGGCCGGCAACAAGAACCTTGACCAGTAGCTGGTTCTTGCCAGGCTGCGGGATGGGACGGTCCCCCACGACCAATGGCTTGCCCACCTCCTCGAGTAAAAGAGCCTTTTGGGACATGACTGTTTCCGAGTCTGAAGCTGAACGCAGTGATGAATAAACACAAAGGAGTAGTGCTAATATGTAGAGGTATAAGGATGGCATTGCCGACGGTTCAGTAGAAGCTTAGTGCCAAGAATGGGAAGCTTGAGGTTTTAAGACGTCTGCATTCCATTGACACAAAGGGCCTTGCGAACGGCCATCGCTGTGCTTAGACGATTTACTAAGTCGCGGAAACCTCAGGGGGCTCCCTTCAAGATTCGTCACATTACTAATTCCCATTCCAGTCACAACATCCACACTGTAGCAGAGTTGCAAACCACTCCACTAGAGACCTCGGTGGAGTGGATTTAAAGGTGTGGGCATGCAGGGTTCAACTAAGTGGTGCTAAACCCACTTAGATGTGCGTCGAGTGGCATGTATTGCAAATCCAAACCCATACAGATGTTGCGGGAAGCTGTTGCTCCCCAGATCCATCCGTCCGTAGACCCAGCTTGCCGACTTTCTCATACATCAAGACTTGGAATGAGGAAAGGCGGTAAGTCAAAGTCACAATATCCATACTATGTATGTGGACACAAGCTCAAGCGCATCTCTAGCCTCATGCGTCTCGGCACCGATCTGCAAGCCCCTTTGATTGGTAAGCGTTCAAAGCGTCAGATCAGACTCGTCTTGCCCCCGCTTTAGTAAGCGGCCAATGAAGTCTGGCCGCCTAATTTGCTAGCTTGAAACTAATCATATATCAACCGGGCCCCCGCACTCCATCACCGTATCTATACGGCCCCTCATGCGACCCTCAACATATCTCTCCATGGCACGACACGACGGCTCATGACAAATATGATCAGAAGGCGTAAAGTGCACAGAAAGTCTCGGGAAGGCTGTGTTCAATGCAAGGAGCGGCACGCTAAGGTACGGTGAGCCCCCTCCCTCTGCTGTCCCTGCTACTCGTTATGCCGAGGCGAAGCCCACAGCTGAACCCTGTAGTGCAACGAGGTCCATCCGCAATGCCTTCAATGCGAGCGGGCCAACATCTCGTGCAGCTTCTCGTCCCCTACCCTGACCATGACGCCACTCAACGAGGACAGCCTAGCTGATCTCGAGCTGCTGGAGCACTGGCACCGGTATCCCGTCACAGGCGACATGTCGGAGACCACGAAGCACCTGCAATACAACCTTGTTCGCTTGGGCTTCTCTCACCATTACCTGCTGAATAGCATCCTAGGCCTTACAGCCCTCCAGCTATACAGTAACGATCAGTCCCAGTCCAAGTGGTACGCTAGAGCCGTTGCACACCAGCAGGCCGCAATCACCCGAGCCAGGCCGCATTTCGAGTCCCTTGATCAGACCCAGCATCAAGCCCTGCTGGGGTTCTCTGCTTTCACTTCGATGTATGCGGTAGCGGAACCTGTTTTTCGCCCCCCTCGCGTCCGCTCTCTGGCACGGTTCGACCCAATCGAGGAGCTGATGAAGGCACTCCACTTTAGCAGGTCTACCTTGGTGTTCGTGCAGCAGAACTTCACCCCTCTCGCCATCTCAGAATCGTGGCTTCTGACTAAATTCAGCGCCAATCACCACGACACTCGGCAGGATCTCGAAACAAGATATCCACAGCTTGCGTTTCTTCGGGGATGTATAGAGCGTCAGTGTGCGGGGGAACAGAAAGCAGCCTGCCTCCATGCCGTTGAAGTACTGTTCCGCCGCATTGCAACGCTCTCGGATAATCTTAGAGACCCCGAACCGAGCAAGGTGATTTGGGGCTGGGGACTCGAGATATACCAGAGCTTTCTAGACTTGTGCTCGGCGCGACATCCCGTGGCACTCGTCATTCTGGCTCACTTTACTGTCTTGATGAGCTTCTATAAGGAGCACTGGTGCCTGAGAGATTGGCCAGGCGGGTTGCTGGGATATATTGTGGGGGTCCTCGGAGATGAGTGGGAAGATACTCTGAAGTGGCCGAGTGATCTTATCTTTGCCTTATCACCAAAGGGCCTACCGCGGCTACTCGCAGCGGAGGAAGGTACCAAAAGGTCTAATAAAGGATGCATGCATAAAAATATCCCAGTCACGTCGTGTTTGCACCAGTTTTCGTATACTGCAGTCAGTTAATTTTCCAAGTACCGATTCTCCCAGTACTCCGTGTAACCATGTCAATAAACGCTGAGGCCGCTGCTTCCGCAATCCCCACCGGCGGTAGCCCGAGTCAGGGGCGCGCTGCCAAGCGTAGCTGGCCGTATTAATACGGTTAGTGATCCACAAGCTATGCATGACACTAATGCTCCCTGATCGCAGCTGTCCTAGGCCTCATTACGCCGAGCATCATGTTACACTGACCCTGAGAAAGCAGCAAGGAACTCGAGACGCGAGTCAGGTCAAAATGCCTGAATGAGGTAATTATTTTATCGACTCGCGAATTGATTAACAGTAGAAGGAAGGTGGAGTGACAAACAAGTTGATAATCAAAGGAAAGTCGGAGAAAGACTGTCATCTATAAAGGTTCAAGTTGTCCGACCAAGTATCAACTCTCCCTCAAGCATCAACTGGGTCAAGCCTCTTCACTTTATTCTCATAAACATTCCAAATCCAACACCAAATTGCGTTAACCATCATGTCTACACCAAGAACCACGAAAGCCTGGACGGTTGAGGGTAAGGGCAGCTTCGACTGTCTCAAGTTTGACAAGGAGCGCGTTCTCCCTGAGCTCTCCGACCACGAGGTCTTGGTCAAATTCCATGCGGCGTCTCTTAACTACCGCGACATCATGATTTCCTTGGTAACTATGTCTTCCTATACATACTCCACTATCACCTACTAACCCTCGCAGGGCACCTATCCATTCCCGACGACGCCAAGTGTCATCCCAGGCTCCGACGGAGCTGGAGAAGTTGTGGCAGTTGGTTCTAAAGTTACCCGCTTTGAGAAAAGTTCCAAGGTTGTGACATTGTTCAACCAAGCACACTACGGTGGGCCGTTGACCTTCAAGGTCTTGGGGACAGGGTTAGGTGGTGTCATGGATGGCGCTCTGCGACAGTACGGCATTTTCAACGAGAATGGACTGGTCGACATGCCAAAGAACCTCGGCTATCTGGAGGCCGGGACACTATCTTGCAGCGCCCTGACGGCGTGGAATGCTCTCTACGGGCTCAAACCAGTCCTTCCCGGCGACTGGGTATTGACGCAGGGTACGGGCGGTGTGAGTATCTCTGGCGTGCAGTTTGCGAAGGCTGCAGGGGCTCGAGTCATTGCCACGACATCTTCTGCAGCCAAGGCTGAGATATTGAAGAAGCTCGGAGCAGATCATGTCATCAATTACAAGGAGACCCCGAACTGGGGCGATGAGGCCAGGAGGCTGACGGGCGGTGCTGGTGTTGACCATATCATGGAGGTTGGAGGCGCGACAACTGTGACGGAGAGTCTGAAAGCCGTCGCTATCGGTGGTGTTGTCACCATCATTGGCTGGATCGGCGGACCGGGAGAGACCGCACCGACTTTCCCCGAGGCCTTATTGTCTGTTGTCAGGGGAATTGTTGTCGGAAGCCGAGAACAATTCGAATCAATGGTATGTACTATGGAACCGGATTGCCTCGCTTGGACGGCTTCTACCAGTTTAAGCGGTTACTAACATGAATAGATCCGGACCATCGAGGCCTTCAACATCAAGCCCGTTCTTGATCAACAAGTTTTCAAGCTCGAGGACCTCAAAGAGTAAGACGATTCGATTTTGCAATGATTCCTATTACAAGCTAATGCATCATAGGGCCTACCAGTACATGTTGGATCAGAAGCATTTTGGCAAAGTTGCAATCAAGATTGAGTAGATGTAGCTTTCTATGCCAGTCTATAGCAGGGATGCAACAAAACATGTTAGCTCCGAAATATACTCTCAACTGTGATATCAGTTATCAGTAGGAGTGGGATGCGGATATAATTCAAGCACGCACTTTATCAGCTGCCTTGTTTTCTTCACATTAGCGACGTTCCTCCTCTCACCTTGATCCAGTTTCCCCCTTATCCATTGTATTGCGACTTCAGACGGCATGAGATAGCTTGCCCGGCCATGGAATCCATAGCATAAACGTCATCAATCGACAATACATCAACTCGCTGAGCATTTGGCCATTAAAAACACCCGTCTGCGTCGCGTCTTGGTCCGCCTCGCGCTTTGGACAATAGCGCGTTGCTACAGTTCGGATGCCTTCATCCGGCCTAACTCTCCGAATCTTGTCAAGCCTGGTCCTTGGGTCCATCTCACCGAGGCGGTCACGACGCAGTTCATTTCGACAAACACCTCCATTCCCGTACCGCTAGTGCACTGCTCCTTCGCCCACAACAACCGCGCCTACGTTGTCATGGAGGGCATGCAGGGCGACGGACTCGCAAAGAAATAGAAGACCATATCTGGAATCGATAGCGAGACGGTGCTTGCTCAACTTCGGCGCATATCCAAAGAGCTGAGGTCCCTAACGCCACCTGACATGAAGGTTAAGAGCAGTGTTGCTAATAATATGACAATAAAACAATATATTGCAATACATACAATACAATACGCATTTTCTGATATTGTACCAATATAATACGCAGGTTGTAATATTGTGACAATACAATATAAGGCTATCCATATTGGCAATATATCGTCTATATTGGCTGGCGGATCTTCAGGCAAAATGCACTTATTTTGTTGACAATTAACGTCGACATATAGGGACGCGTGCGAAGAAAACGCGTAACTAATTTATTGTTTTACGTCAGGGGCAAGAAAACGCGTAGTGAAAGTATAATCCATGGCCTACAGGGTAGCCGGAGACCGCGAAAAACATTTGATGGAATTGTTGATCCAACTCCAGGCGGCATTTATCTCGGATACTGGTCAAAGTCCAGGGAGTGGCAAGCTGTACTCATTCTCCCTGGAGTTGCCACCGAGCAACCCATTGATATTGGCTTCTCAGGCACGATCCAGGACCTAGGTCTCACAGAACAACTACCACCGTATTACACTTATGATCCCCAGACGGGTATTCTTGATTGGCAAGAGGACTATAAAGATAGAGGTCCTTTGGTTATAGAGCGACAATTTCCCATTATGTACTTTGATGGCTTGGATTTTCCAAGTAAAAGCTCAGTTGGCTAGGTGGCAGCCAACAATCTCCAGCCTGTTGATACTCAAGATTCCAGCTTCAAGCTAACTCCTTACTTCAAATCGGTCCTGGATTTTTTGGAGACCCAAAGAAGCAAACAGGTTGAGAATTCAAATCTCGAAAATATAGAGCAAACAGACTTAAGACTGGGCCCGGCAGACATCGACACTCTAGATTCTACGGTTGTTGCTACACTAGCGGCTTTACCGGTAGAATAAAGCTAAGAGGAACAGTCAAGTCCCCAACCTGGCCTCAGCTAAAATAATTATCAATTAGATAACTAAGAGGCGCTACTGTTATCCGAAGAAGGCCGCACCAATAACGTAGCGGGCTTGCCACCGAGCAGAGCTGACTTTCATTACAGCCTTAGTCCTGATTTGAAGACTCTCTATGAAAATCAAAACCCCAATGTTGTGGTTATAATCAGCGATTTCTCCAGCAATACAGCGTCGGAAGCGGCTACAGGAACTCCTCTAGCTGGCGACCGGCCCGAACCTATTATTTCACCTTCGATGTCTTTATCTATACAACTAGTTACGGCTCCAACCCTAGACAACCAAGGCGAACGTGACAGCTCGCTTAGGAATAGAAAATTGCTCTAAATAGCAGCTGATGGCTGCAGATAGAATGGGTAGTTAGACTAGGGCGGCCCTTTAGCAGTGGGTGAAGTGGATGGGACCCGAGCAGCCGCAAGCCGACAAAGTCGCATTTCACCACTAGTAGACAGTCCAATCTATCCAAGCCAAGCCTATTTTGTACCAGGCCCACTTCGATTTCAAGTGAAGGACCAAGGGAAAGACATAGAGCCACCCCCAATTGCAATGCAGGCTATGGAGCGACCTAAGATTAATAATCAGCGCCTCGACCTATTGAGACAGCCGCATAGTGCCGAGGGTCCGGCATCTTTTCATAAAGAACACCCCCATATATTAAATGTGGTATCGAACGATAAACGTGATATTCAAGTAGGACCACCACAAGGACCCGGGTCCTCCCCCCTTTACTAATCAAGCTTCGTCCTCCCCGTTCCGCGGAATCTTAACGTAGGCCTTACAGTACCAGCAATATATTAACTACAGCCCCTTAATCCCATGCCGCCTATTCAGACTACCCCACAGCCTTTTCCCCAGTCTCAGTTAACCGATAATACATACTCAGTTAGCTGCTAAGAACCTATCTTAAGTCCCAACTATCAACTAGTCACGCTTCCCCCCCTCTCAATACTAAGTATATCGACAAGACCTAGTCTACAACCACATTCTATTAGTAACTAGGCTCCTAATGCATCGCCGCGTTTATTGCCATGTCCAGCCCCAAACCCGCCTTCAGCAAACTCGGCATCATCACTAACGAATGGACAATCAAGCCAACTCCACCCACGACATCCCTCGGAACCAGATACCCAGTGGGGGTGTTCTTGCCTTTATTGTTTAAAGTGTTATGTTATACTAGTTTGGAGGGACAAACATATCTAGGACTGTCACTCAGCACACTAAATCAATTAGCTTGTATTAAATATTGAACTGCTTCCTTGGATATAATAATGTGGATCTTAAACATAATCTTGCAGGAAGAATAGTTATATTATGTCAGACGGAATAGCTACACTAGGAAAACCCTGTCTTTGAACCACTTTATTTCGAAGATGGGAATGTGATGAAGCCTTAATGAATTGGACATCCTGTTTTAAATTACGTAGACTATGAATAACGCAAACGCCTCACAATCCTACCGTTATGGATCCATATGTGGATTCCGTGGTATGGATTTGAACCCTGGATAGAGGCGTTGGCACGGAGCCCTGCGCAAGTCCATATTGCCTTTGATGGATGGACCTCCCGCAACCGGCATGGTTTCTTCGTTATCAACGCTCAGTTCCTTGACTCTACGTTTGAGCCGAAGAAGGTCATCCTCAATCTACCTCATATGGAAGGGAATCACACTGGGGTCAATATCGCTGCTTAGGTCACAGAGGTCTTGAAGGAGTTTAGTCTGGTGACCAACCCAAGGCAACCCGGCTACTTCACGGTCGATAACGCCTCAAACAACGATACAGCACTGGCAGAGCTTTCAGCACTCAAGGGGATTGACGGTCTCAACCCTCTCAAGGCTCGGGTTCGTTGCTTTGGGCACATCATCAACTTGGTTACCCGTGCCTTGTTATTTTCAAAGGAAGACCATCTCCCTGAGGATATTGGTGTTGACGACTTTGATAGCTGGAGGAAGTTTGGACCTGTTGGCCGCCTACACAGTCTTGTGGTCTGGATACACCGATCTCAGCTAGTAGCAGACTACCTGCGCAATATCCCGAGGGAGGCAGGCTGTCCTAAGATCCTTGGTGTGGTCGTTGATGATGCTACCCGGTGGCTCTCTCAGTCCTACATGATGCAACGGGCTCTTGATCTGCAGCCATGCATTGAGGAACTTGTTGGTGAGGCGGCTTCACAGTTTGCAACCGGGCGATCTTATTCTCGGCGTCAAAGGGGTCCTCTTGCAGGTCTCTATCTGTTGGAGATCACAAGTGTGAGGCGACCAAGTCGGTGGCAAGGTGTGGAAGAAGGAGGAACATTCTACAGGAGATCGTGCCTGTACATAAACAGTGGTTCCCCTACTGCACATTTAGTATGAATTAAGCAACTTGAATCTTCTTATTTCAACACTATCTACCAGGCAAGAAGCCATCATGTCTTGATGATGAGAACCTTCTTGATAAGAATGACTGGAATGCAATCTGGTGGTTCTACGGCATCTTAAGGCACTTTGAGAAGTAGGTCAAGAAGCTGGAAGGCGACAACCAGCTCGAGTTCGCCGTGGAGGCAAGAAGAGCCGGCTCAGTGGTATCTGGGGAGTCTTCAGGACCTTCTTCACAAGCTTGAAGATGCCAAGATTGAGGCACAAGGTCGCCCAGAGCAATATCCCAGGGATGTAATCAATATCGCCCTTGCCATACTTCAGATCATGCTAGCTGTTCTGCCACTGCAAGCTGAAGCTGGGTGTATCAGCAACAGCCGGGAAGACGCCAGCGCAGACGAGGAACGCAGCCAAGTAGCGGACATCAGGGAACAGCGCCGGAATACCCTCTGTTTAAGAATGTGTTCAGCTTCACAGCAGGGCATGGTGCTTTGGCGAGTCAACAATGAAGAGAAGCTGCCCATGGCAATCCCGACTTTGCATGAACGACGCCATATGCAAGTGCCGAGGTAAAGCAGTTCGGCAGCGGGGGAAGGACATGAAGAGTCTGTATCACGGGCCCATCTCGCGCCGATGGTTGAAGTAGGTTATATACAAAGCAACGAGCCACAATGACTTCAAAATGCTCACCCTAGACGCGATGCTCGGCTCCTCTTTCAAGATTGCTGCTATTGAGCAAGGCATGGGCCGAGACTTGATCAAGTCGAGCATCGTCAGCATTCGACGCCGCATTCGATTCCCGTCTTGGGAGAGCTTGTTGGGCCAACATCAGACATGTCCCACGCCATTGAAAACAATGTGCGAGTCTCCACCCTTCATTTTCCTACCCTGGGCAAATGGCCACGACAGACAACTTTGCAACCTGGCTCCCTGTTGAAATGAGCATGTTGTGTTGATTAAAGAAGAAGAAAACTACCCGTTGGCATTGTGGGGCAAGCCAGCGGAAGCTATTGACAAGAAGGCATCCACATCCCAGCCACTAATGGATCGGAATAGCAATTAATCCGTCAAACAACGGATCTCAACACTCCCCACGAACAAGATGTTGGTGCTGTCTTCAAGTTGAGTCTGTGGGTACACTAAGAGAGGGGAGAGGTGGTTGTCGGGCCAACGCGTTGGCTAGCTGACTAATCAAACCCAAGCCAATTCCGCTTTAATCATCACGTCAACCACGTCAACCACGTCAATCAAGCAACACTCCACGTCGGTTTAATGCATTTAGTGTACCCCAAACCATGGGCGATTCCAACAGAATCCTTTCCTGGGTCTTGAATCTTCCCCGGCACACCGACTACAGTCCTCCTTCGCCTCCCGACGAGCGTCGCAAACGCAAGATCCGAAATACGGCGTCGAGCCATCAACTTGCCAGTCCCCCGACCTCGCTCGACGATTACGACATGGCATCGACACCGAAACGGCGACGACTCGAAGGCGGTACAAGTGCACGGTTTGATCCCGATGCGACTCCCCGGCCTGGCACGCGCAGCATCACAGCCGATTCCTCTGCGTCTGCTTCCGCGTCTGATACGAGTTCTGTCTCGGGCGCGTCGTCTCCAAAGAAACAGATGATGAATCTTCGCTTGAGCGACGCCGGTGTGATATACAGGTCACTCAACGAGCGGACAGCGCCTGCGGTGGCCGAGACGCTGTTTACGACAATATCTGACATCGGACGAGGCTTCGACCTTGTACCGGATTCTTTCAAGGCGACCATCACCCAGAAACTCAAGGACCGAGGCATGGAATCTCGCCGGTGGGGGCATTGCTTCAAGCCGGCCGGCGAGGCCGATGTTCTGCCGGGCCGGATCCCATCTTTCGACGAGGTTGAGAGGGTCTTTGTCGAGGCCCAAGAGTGCGAGGACTTTAGACACGAAGAGAGTGCCTGGAACTCTCAGGTTCATCTGCGACTACTGGAAGGCATCTTCAAAACGCCGCAAGGTCACCTGTGTGATGACTTTGGCTCCGTCAGCTGGTGAGTGCTGTTGTCTTGGAAGCCTTGGAAACGTTGGTCTTGGCCAGGATTGTCGCATCATGACTGACGTCTCTATCTCTTGCAGCACGTCGGCCCGTCCACACCGCGAGTTTAAGCCATCCGCATCAATGGCCAAGATGATTGACATCTGCGTGTTCGCTTCAGTCGACCGAGACACCGAGTTGAAGAGGGCTGTCATCGAATTCAGCAAACTCACACCAACGCTATCCATCAATCACACCGACTTTGAACCCACTCAGCATCGTCCCCTCCTCCTCAGCATCGAGACTAAGAGACCTGGCGTCGATGGAGACAAGGCCCAACTGCAGATGGGCGTCTGGCATGCCGCTCAGTGGGCCTTTCTCCGCTGGGCGGTCGGCCATAGCCTTGTCCGCCGGCGCATAGCACAAGGCTCAGGAGCGGCCAATACAGACGAGCTCCGGGCGGCGGAGCGTGCTACCCTGGCGAGGTTGGGTTTCATACCAGGCATCATTGTGCAGGGACACCGGTGGCACCTGGTGTTGTCGACGTACGGCGAGGACGGCAAAACAACGCTGTGGGCAGAGTGGGAGATTGGTTCGACAAAAAGCCTCCAAGACATATATGCCATTGTTGCGGGGGTGCGGGAGCTGACGGCCTGGGCGAAAGATGTTTACTTGCCGTGGTTGAGGGAGAATGTTTTGAATTGAGCTTCACTAAGATATGGATTGGTTTTGGTTTGGAGTTGGGGAGTGGTGCGTACATATTGGTTATGAATATGATACCCCAGTATTTCGAGTCTTGAATTGAAGATTTTGTCAACATATTCCCCTCAAGTTCGTGACAAACAGTATACCAGAAGTCCGAGGTAGACTTTCTCACCTTAGGCTTATGTCAGTTATAAATGCAATCTCCGTCTTTCTGCCAGCTAACTTTAATAACGAAAACTGGCCAGCCGTAACAGGGAGGAACCACCCTGTTTATAGAATTGAGTATGTGTATGCTTTTCGGAGATACTACTAAGGAAGCAATTGTTAACATACAGAGGGAATTGATAGAAGTTACCCCTGTCCCGTTTTACATCGTTAGTGTGGTGGTCATGGTCATCCAGAATAACACCACCGGCGCCAAGAGACGTCTTGCCTCCGGGAACATTGATGGCGCCAGACTGTGAAAGACCACACCATTCAGGCCTCTGTTCAGATCCTTTTACGTGGGAATCCACTCGTTGCTGCCGACATATAGACATTGCCTCTTATCGGACGACTCCTCTCCGCCGATGTAGTTGAGTCCAGTGTTCCTAATAATATGACAATAAAACAATATACTGCAATACGTATAATACAATATGCGTTTTCTGATATTGTACCAATATAATATACAGGTTGTGATATTGCAACAATACAATATAAGGCTATCCATATTGGCAATATATTGTCTATATTAGTTGGCAGATCTTTGGGCAAAATGCACTTATTTGTTGACAATTAACGTCGGCATGTGGTGACTCGTGGAAGAAAACGCATAACTGGTTTATTGTTTTACTTCCAGGGCAAGAAAACGCGTAACTAGTGAAAGTATAAATTCATGGCCTACAGGGTAGGGTATCGTTCACCAGCAAGCAGCCCCTCTCAACCCCACTTCTATCACTCTACAGAGGACTACCGACAACCTCCATACCTCAACAACGCCTGCCTTTTATTCAAACGTTGCAACAAAGAGGGTCGTCAATATCAAACGACTTTTCGGAGCTCTCCAGTCAGCAATTACATGACCCAGACGAGAGCCAAACCTCCAGTTGCCAATCGTCGCGACCTCGCACAGCCTCCACAACCTCCTTGGCCAAGCTAAGAACATCATAGGTCTTCTCCCATATGCCAGACGAGGAGATAGAGATAAGATACTACAATCAACGGACCGGAAAAGAAGAGTGGCGCTGCAAGTATTGTGACAAAACATATTCCTGTTCTGGTGGAACTGCCGCTCCAGCTAAGCACCTTATAGATCCTCTTCCTGACGGTTATGGCCTTCTAAAAGGCGCCTAACGAATAGCTAAAGTCATAAATATACAAACTATTCTCGAACAAGCTCGTGTTGCGGCCGAAGAAAACCCCCGAAAACGGCGTCGGCTCAACGATCAATCCGGAGACTCGATCGACCCAGACCAGCTCGAAGTGTTATACGTAAGGTTTATTACGGCCTGTTCTCTCCCATTTCGGCTTGTGGAATGCCCAGAGTTCCGAGCACTCTTGGCCTACCTCAATACTGATATCGATACTTGGCTTCCAGATACACACGAGACCATCAAGAAATGGATTATGCGGCAGTATGAAGGCCAGAAGGAGAAGGTCAAGCAGCGCATACAGTCGGCAAAGTCAAGGATTCACATCAGCTGCGACCTTTGGACTTCTCCCAACTCTTTGGCCATCTTAGGCCTAGTCGCTCACTATGTTACGGAAGACGGTCAGCTGGAACACCATATCTTGGCCTTAAAAGACATCCAGGGTTCAAAGCCACTCCACGAAAACCCACATATGATCCATATCAAATACACTCCATTCCATCAGACCCAGTTGTGGATTTACTCCTACTCTACGGGAGCCAGGCCACAAGTGGAAATTGTGGAATGCAGTGGATATTTCCTTAATCTTAGCGGAGGTTTACAAATACCACAGAACCCCTAGTTAATAGGTTGAGTTTAAAGTATTTGCTAACTAATATGCCAGGTTTAAGACAACGCATACCTGTTCCCTACCGGTATCAAGCTACCTGGAATGTCTGTTCGGCTGTTCCTATGATGTTGCTCGCGACTGCAGCTGCCTGGCTGGCAGAATAAAGAGCTGCACGATCCGGTGTATTTCCTCATGGGCGACGCGATCCTCAGATAATTCTTATCAATTGGCTGATGCTATTAGACCTTCGACTATGTGGATTTTAATTGTCTGACAATGCCAATGCGTCCGACTACCGATACTTTGGCTTATTTCTAACTGGTGACAAATCTTTAGCTGCAAATATCGTATTACAATGGCCGACTATTAGCCCGATTCTCGACTAGGTACTCTCGAGCCCTCTGTGCAAGGGAAATCGACGGCGGCGATCCCCGAACGAATAGAAGAAGAGGAATAAAGGCTATTTCGCTTGTTCAGAGGCTGGACTTTGTCTGAAAGAGATGGCTATATGCGTTAATGGGTCTACCGGTTTGGGTATGATATTCAGAATACAGCAACGAAGGAATACCGCTGGGTCTGTTATATGTATATTAAACAGAAGGATCCAAGGCTGAAGAATTATAACTATAAGAACCTACAGAATGCTGAGAGCTACTTATTTAAGAATTACAACAGCATAGTCGATCCTTTAGGTAAAAGGCAGGCCCTGAAATCTACCGTTGCAACACCCGCCCGCTCAATTGCTATATTACTTCGATTGAATCCAGAGGTCCCCCGCAATTAAGAAATAATAAATCTATTAATTAAGCGGTTTAATAAAGCCGCGTTTCAACAGATGATCGTCAACTGAATCGTCAACACAAATCGATCGTTCACCACTGCGAAAGATCCTGACCTGCAAGCGATCTTCGAATATCTCAACCCTTCTGTTTCCATTACAGAAGCTCACATATCCGATGTAACGGTGCGCGCGATCGCCGAAAGAGAATTCAACGCAAATAAATTGGCTGTATGAGAGACGCTTTGGAAGAGCCCAAGCCAGATCCATATCCAGTTTGATGGATGGCAATCCGGGAACAGGCATGCTCTTTACGGCGTTACTTGTATATTCAGGGATCTGGATAACAGGCCCCGGAAGTGCGTTCTCGGCCTTCCGGAGCTACTAGGCCGGCACACAGGCGAGAATATCGCTGAGCAGATATTCGACATCGTCCGGGAGTTCGAGATTGGGGATAAGCTGGGCTACTTTACGCTGGATAACGCCTCGAATAACAAAACAACGATGGAAGAGCTGGGCCATGAGCTAGGATTCGACTGGAAGAAGCGCTGGGTTCGCTGCATTGGCTATGTTGTCAATATAGTGGTGAAACACATGCTATTTGGCCAAGATCCAAACGCGTTCGAGCAACAGATCTACGATGGCCAATTGACGGCGGCGAGGGAACATGAGCAGTGGCGCAAAAGGGGTCCAGTGGGTAAATGGCATAACTTCGCTGTGGTAAGCTGAATTTTTTCTTATTTTTATTATATTGTTTTCTAACTTTCCTGTTTTCCGGCTTATTTTAACTGCATTTGCAGGAGGTTAACAGATCCGATATCTGGACCGACGTCCTTAAAAAAGTCCAGCTAGTCGAATCCCAACTATCCGACGATCCAGCAGCCCAAAGCTATAATCCTGTTGGCGTTGTATTAGATAACGCTACCCGTTGGCTTTCCCAGCTAGCCATGATCGACCGGGCTCTTGTTTTGCAGCCGTTTTACGACCCTTTTATCCAGCGAGCGTTAAGTGAGTAGAACAAAGCGAATCTTACGAAAAGTGGCTCCGTTGGGAAGGGGGCCAGGATGCCGTTCTTTTTGAAGGAAGAGAACCGGATTTCAAGCAGCGACTGGCGTGTGCTCCAGGCGCTCCGCGATATCCTACTAGACTTTCAGCTAGTAGTCAAAGCCTTGGAGGGCGATGGACAGGGGAAACACCAAAAGCAAGATCAAGAAGATGAAATTGAGCTTCCATTATCCGGTAAGTCCTGGCTGGATGGAGTCAGTCTGTAATTGGTATGGCTAACCGAGTCACGACTCGAAGGTACAAGCTGGGATCTTCTTCATGCATACGAATATCTTCTCGAGTCCCTCGAATCCGCCAAAAAGATTGCCGTTGGCCTCCCTGACTTTAGGCATCTCGCCGTTAATATTAACCTAGGCTGGATAAAGCTCGATGAGTATTATCAATATCTCAACAACAGTCCTGTAATCTACGGCGCGGCGGCTCTCCATCCTGCTTACCGCTGGATATTATTCGACGATCTGTGGGGTGATGATGCTAAGCAGCGGACGTGGATTATCAAAGCCAAAGCGATTATTCAGGATCTGTGGGAATGCGAATATAAGGACTTATTTTCTGAAGATTAAGATTCTAATTTATCTATAAGTAAATATCTTAAATCCTTAAGGAATAAGTTTACAGCCTGGCGTAATAGCAAATAAGGGCTAATTTTTTAGAATTAGGCTATTGATAAGTCTGCCGGGGTATCTCTTTTATTATTATATAGAGGGTTAGATTTCAATAAGTATAATTAATAGTAATATAATATTGATAATTCTAATATTTTTATTACTAACCTATATAAATATTAGTATACTAAGCGGCTTAAGTACTCTAAATTGAATAGGATAGTCCTGGATTTACTAACTGTAGCCTCTATGTTAGTAGAGTATAAAAGGTTATTTTTAGTAGCTGGGTAGATAGTTATAAGGCTTAGGAATTAGCTAAATGCTTTAACTATTAGTATATACTAGACTTTATGTAGTTGGTAATGTGTAGGATTGATTGGGCAGTTGGATTAGATACTGAAAGAATCTTTAAGGGAATGATAGCGATATACTAGGGGTTAAGTTATGCAAGGAAGTAAGTTTCTTGCTCGTTATGTGGAAATCTTTTCCATATTGTGGATTTATATTTATAATGGATCTATATCTATCTATTCCACCGCCGTGATCTTAGTCATCATCTACATTAATTCCATATCCTCGAATGTGTAGTGGAGTGTAGTGGCTTTGAACCCTGAAGATATCGACAGTGAGCACGATGGTTCTCACCTTGTAGCGGCAATTTTGGAAGTAGTTGATGATTGGGGTTTTGCTTTAAAACTTGGATATTTCGTGATGGATAATGCAGGCAATAACGATACAATGATGAGATATCTTTCTCTTGGTTAGTACGACGCACTGTTTCCTCTAATTTGCCCTAACATTCACAGGCCTTCTACGCCGATTTGACATTTAATACAACCCCAAATCTCACCGACTTCGCTGCCAAGGTCACATCATCAACCTCGCCGCCAAAGCTTTCCTCTTCGTTACCGACAATAAGAAGCTCGAACACGACGATCCTGGTATATATAATGTAATACTAAAGGAGATCGAGGCGTGGCGGCAAAAGGGGCCTCTTAGCAAGCTTTATAACTTCGTCGTTTTCATCTAACGAAGTGTTCAGCGTTTCCAGAAGTTTATGGCTATTAGCTATAACCGCAAGCTTGCGCGAGATAACAACACGAGGTGGAGTTCGTGGTATATCATGCTACGAGCAGCCTTGCATCTTAGAGACGCAATCGACGACTACTTCAACAAATAGGTGGAAGCAGATTGCGCTGGAGACGAGCTCTCTTCAGAGGACTAGATTATCCTCGAAAAGATTAAGTCCTTTTTAAAGAAGCTCAAAATAACTACCAAGGCTCTTAAGTTATTATTTACAACCCTTAATAATATCCTTTTAGCTATAGACTTTATATTGGTATAATTTAAAGCAGGGAAAGAGGTATATATAGACAACTGGATTATAGTATTAATATATAACTCGAGTTAGGCGAAAATGGACAAGTACTATTACCTTACTGATAAATCGCCTGCCTATATTACTGCAATTATGCTTCACCCTTTGCATAAATAGCACTATATATATAAGAACTGGAAGAAGGAGTGGGCTGAGTTGTTAAAGAAGTTAATAGAGATACTGTGGGATAAATATAAACCTGTAGAACTGTATCTTCCTCTATCTAAGGTCCCGTTAACAACTACAAACGAGTTTTTAAATTGGAGAAATAAATATCTATAACTAGCACTTATTATAGACGAGTATGAGTATTATTATAAATCTAAGCGGGTTTATGGGTTTATAAGCGCTCTTATATAGTAGCTAGAGGAGATATAGTAAAAAAACTACCCCAACCTGAGCAAAATAGCTGTGGATATACTGTCAATTCCTGCAATGTCTGCTGAGCCTGAATGACTCTTCTCTGGGGCAAAGATAACCATTACAGATCGTCGAAATCGACTTGGGAGTGATATAATTAAAGCATTGGAGTGCTTGAAGTCGTGGTTTGGGATACGAGATTTTCAGGGTGACGATAGTTCAGCCGCAGCAGTCGAATGATAAAGGTCACGTGGAATATATGGGGTATATTGTTACACTGCCAATATATTGGGTTCTTGGCAATACAATACAATATGGATTAATATCATATTGCGTAATACAATACGCACCACTTGACAATACAATAATATTGCGAGGGTTCCATATTGCCAATATACGTATTGTTTATATTATTAGCAACACTGTTTGAATGCGCTCGTCCACCGTCTCTGAACGAGCTGAAGCAGAGGCTGTGACCGAGTTCTAGACCGAGTTCTAGACAGCGTTCTGGACCGCGATCCCTACACCAAGCCAGTGTCAGATCATCAAAAAGTGGGGTGGCTCTATTCCCAATCAGAATCTTGGCCGCAGCTCCGGTTCTCTTCCACAGAGAGCCTAGCTGTACGACGCCACTCAGCATCGTGGAAGCTGTAATAAGCAATGATCGTCGCTCGGGGCATCTGCCACCTGCCAAAAAGCTGAGTGACGTCATCGTTCCCATCCCGCTGTTTTGGGCCATATCGTCCAAACTGGAGCTTCCTAGCCCAAAATCTCAGAGCACGGCGACAAAATCCCCACACTGCTTGAGGGTACAGTAGCATCTAGGCCGCAAGGATACATGGCGAGCATGCCTGTGCCGCTTTACTCCCTAGACCAACGCCTCATAAAACACGCCGGCGCTGAGTTGCAGGAACGCAGATGCGTGGTGACTTTTGACGGAGCTTTTGCCCCGGGGATACGTACTTCGTGCTGGGGTTGACGAAAAAGTAAACCACGGCTACCAAACAGTCCAGTTTTCGCTCTATTACAGGGGTATGGCACCAGGACGTCAGCTTTTAGACCAAGAATTCAGGACTTTCCGGCGGAGACGGGGCACGACTCGGGGTTGGCCTGTAATAGTCGTCACGAGCCATTGCTTTTCACGGAAACTTCCGTCCGTATTGACCAATCAGCTCGTCTTGCCCAACATTCCAACGATAGCTGAAGGCACGAGCAGTGTGAAGGCACCACCACCAGTGCCTGCCACATGGACCCGCAGCTAAATAGTAAGATTGAAATTACCCTAAATCCACCACAAAAAGACACATAAAAGGTAGGGAGATATAGCAGCAGTCATAGTAAATCCATCACATAAATATGTGTTCTTAAATCTTCATGTCAGTGTTTTATCCGAGGTTGATGTAAAATCGTGGTTCAGCGATCGAAGGACGGCCTGTGCGCAAAGAGCTTGCTTATGAAATACCGTTACATCCCCTGTTCGATGGAGGAGCAACTGACCAATGGAGTTAAAGAAGAAGCACGGATGGCATCCCCACTCTTAGATTCATGAATGCCTCGACTGTGATGTTGGAAGCCAAATCTAACCCCGCTTCTGAGCCCAACGGTTCTTTAGCCATACGCAACCACACTTCCACCATGACCACTATTTTTCATCTCTCCAACGAGATCAGAGCTCTAATAGCTGCAGAGCTTCCGAAAGAGGATTTACTCCGATTCCGACAAAGTATGCAAGGAAACCAATGCCTGGACGACCGCTCTCTTCGCCCAGATTTTTTCCAAGACCCGCTATGTCATGGTTGAACGACAAAGCCTAGAAACGCTCACCGGGATATCAGAGCATCGCATTCTCAGTCCGTATATCGATACGCTGGAAATCTGCGTCGACCATCTCCTTCCTCTCCATGAACTTCGGCTCATAGAGCCTGCTGTCAACCCAATCGAGGAGTTCAGAAAGAGGGGCTTACTTGACGAGGGCGTAGCTGTCGAAGACAGCGACATACCAGGTAGTGATCGCCTTAGTCGGCTTGATGAAAAGGCATATCGCAAGTACTTGGAGGACCAAGAGCAACTGATCCGTACCGGGCATGATATTGCATGCCTATCACAAGCTATGTCGCGCCTGGTCAACTGCAAGAGGACCAATATTACCGATGTTATGCGGCCTTAGGTTTAAATCGACAAAAAAGAGACATCGGCATCTTACCACAAAGGACTCTTACGTTCAAATCACCAAAGAGTGTCAAGTTCATTCACCATATCATACAGGTTGTTCTTATGGCAGCAGCAATGAGCAATCTCCCGGTTGAGGTGCTGGACATTAGTATTGGGGGCAACATGGAAAACGCCAGCTGCATAAGTCCGAATTTGCTCCTCTGGCCAGCCTCTGTCTTAGCATAACCCCCCCTGATCCACCTTCGCCATCTATACCTCATCCTCAGCCCAGAGCTTCCCAAAACCCGAGCGGATTCCTTAAGATGGGATTCTGATCTAGTCGAATTTACCAAACTACTGTCAGAACTGTCCCATCTTAGGTTTGAATTCGAGGACCGTGATAGCTGCGGCCGGTTTTCGAAGCTCTGTAAGGTACTGCATATCCCGAGATTGCAGACATTAACGCTCGGTTTACTTGACCGTACTAGGATGGATCTGGCATTTTTCCTTCTTCAGCACCAGAAGACGCTTCGAGAGATCACGTTGGATTGTATTGATCTTACTAATGGTGCTAGGGCTTGGCATTGGCTGGCTGGAGTAGTCCGCGACTGCCTAGATATTACTTCCTCATGACTGATAGTGTGGCTGGAGATATCAATATCATTACTCAGGTAGCGCGTTGGTGCGATTTACGGTCAGAATCGGGGTGGGAATCGCAGTGACATTACTCAGGTAGCGCGTAGTTAGCGCATTAACTGTGAGGTTTCTTTGTTGATGCATGAGCATAAAACGGGAAAACTAAGCGGCATTGATGCACAAGATGAGGAAACAGACGACTTGGAAAACGAGGAGGAGCGCAAGTACGACTCCAAGGAACGACGCTCTATCTGAGGGGTATTCTATGGCAAGGGCAAGCCATCAGTGGATGAGATAGCTATTGCCGACCCCAGGATCAGAATCAGAAGATACAGCGGACATCACAGGTCGAGTACCAGACTGCCTCTCCCTCTGCCACCCTCGAGCAGCCCTCCACTCATTCCCGCTCCTCACTGTCGGAACAGTCTCACCCAGGCGCTGTCACCGCCGCTGCTGGTACTGCCGCCGCCGCTGCTGTTACCACTGCTCCGGCTCCTCCCGCCCAAGCCCACGTCTACACCCACCGCCATACCGGCTCCGTTTCGAGACTCAACCAGCGTTCGTCGAGCGGCATCCTCGCCTTGGCTGTGGCCGCCTTGGACAGGACCCAGAGCGCCATCGTCACCACCTTGGAGCCCGGGATCCGCCCCTGGCAGTCCAACGGTACCCTCTCGAGGCTCTCCCTCCTCCCCAGCCCGACGCCCACCTCGGAGCCCTCCAGCCCAGACAAGAACCACCAGCTTAAAAGTGCCTCGAGCCAGTCTTTATTGTCTAACGCCAACCTGGACAGCACCCTCGCTACCCAGGCCGTTCCGGCAAACCACGCGCCGTCCCAGCCTTACACGGCTACAGACCAACCGCCTCCCATCAAGTCTCCCCTCACGGCAAACAAGATGCACCAAACATCCTCGCGCTTGCTGCGCATGACGGATGACGACCGGCCGTTCACGAGGGTATGTGCGCGATGGTTCTACTGCTTACACCTGCCTGACTCTTTTTTCGTGCGCCAATGTGCAGCGTTCCGTGCGGGGCATGCGATACCCCCTTCTAAAACGCCGCCTCCCGAACCCCTTCTCACCAGAGCATTGGCTGACTTTGGTTGTACAATAGGACTTCAAGGATCTCTTCTCCACCCTCGTCGTCAGTCTCTTGCCGCTCTCAGCCCACCGCGTCCGATTGACCAAGGTCGAGTACACGTTCCTCTCCGAGGATGCCATCATCAACCTCGGATCTCTCAAGTTCTCCCAGTCGAACCACATACCAGATCCCAAAGGCCCGTCCCGCACCGTCACCACCGTCACAACCACGACCTTCTCTATGACCAAGAATATGGCCCGGTCTATCTGCCAACGCTTCGTCGAGGCCCGTTTCATTGAATCGGCCGACGGCAAGTACCAGCAGGTATACAACATGAAGGGATCGGTCTGGCAGCTGACGTCTAAGGGAATCGCCGTGCTGGACAGGTTCTGCTCGAGGAATGGTATCCAGCAGAAGCAGGTTTCGAAACTGGCCAACCTGGGCTCAACTCAACTCGTCCGGCTAGAGAGGGACCCACAGAGCGACAAGCTCCTGCACCACGAAGGCACCATCGAGGTCATTTTCCGCCGCTTCGTGGGTGCCGACGGCCGGAACATCAAGGCGACCATCAATGCAGCCGATTCGGACCCATTACACGATTACAAGGATGGTCTCACGGGCGTCAAGATGGCAGCCGAGCGCAAGGTCAACGGCAAGACGTATCGAGACACCTTCACTGGCAAGGCCACCACCGACTGGTTGATGGACTGCTCCACCATCGTTGACAAGCGAGAAACCGTCGAGGTTGCCACCCTCTTTGTCGAGTTCGATCTGATAGAGCCTGTTGCTCAGGACCCAGCCTACATGACCCAGAACCCAGGCTGCAATGTGTTCCAGCCCACAAAGTATGCTATCTATCGCATCTCCCAGCAAGGCAAGGATCTTATCAACGGTTCTGGCTCGAGGGGACGAGCATCAGAGGGCGAGAGTGGTGCGGCTTCTCAGCGAAACGGCATCACCAGGAACTCCAACCCCCAGCTCGACAAGATCCTCAACGATCCTGCGCTTCGTCTTCTCTTCCGGGAGAACCTGCGTGACACGCACTGCGAAGAGAACCTGTCCTTCTACCAAGACGTCGACGAGTTTGTCCGCAACTGCAAGGCCGTCACTCGCGCAGCCCAAAAGAGCCCCAACATCACCTCAATGGACAGGGTCAAGGAGACCATGGCGCAGGCGTACGGAATCTACAACACCTTCCTGTGCCCCGGATCCCCATGCGAGCTCAACATCGACCACCAGCTCCGCAACAACTTTACCACTCGGATGACCAAGGCCGTCGGCCAGGACGTCGCCATGATCGACACCCTCCAGGAGGTGACGTCCCTCTTCGAGGACGCCCAAAACGCCGTCCTCAGGCTCATGGCTAGTGTAAGCTTTGCTAACCCCCCCAACTTCGGCGAGGCCGACGGGCGCTGACGCACAGCAGGATTCAGTGCCAAAATTCCTTCGCAGCCCCAAGTACGAGCAGCAACTGCGGAATTATGAATTCGACCTCGTCGGTCGAGGCCCTGAGCGAAGCCGCCTGTCCAACCGAAAGTGACGTCTCGACGCCGAATGCCGACGCCCGCAACAATAATCAAGACATCGCAACTACGCATCCGAATCCGCACAAGACGCTCTATCGCTGCCATGATTACTCTTCCTACCTTTTTTACCTTAGCAGTCTGCGTGAATGCTGTTCTAGAGGTAGGCTGTTTTAGCAACAAGAAGGATATTCCTTTTTCTGTATTGAAGAACGGTGACCCGATCCCCGCAGTTCACGCTGCAATCAACGATTTCTGTGATGGGATGATCCGAGACAACAAAATCCCATCTACCTTCAAAGATTGGAAGGTATGCTTTACAGCATACTCTAACTCTATGACCCTTGCTGTCAATAGATATCTGGAAGGCGGTATCACACCAGACAGCGAGAGATGCAAAGCTGGCCTCAAGGGGGCAGCATTATGGGAGTATGGAGGGATACATGTACTTGATGGGGATCATTATCCATGGTGGTCTTTCGAATCTGGAGGGCACTGGGAATATACAGCCGATCCCAATGCTGGTGAATGCGACCCAGGGCTAGCTTGGGGAGGAAATATTTATTAAACTCATTAAGAGGAACGGAATGGATGGGGTATTAGTATTAGATTTAGATGACCTAAGCTTCGTGCTCAATTGGTCTGATAAGTCTCCCGGTGGAGTTAAGATCGCTAGTAACTAAAGACTAAAGACCTTTACTTCTTTTTTTTCTCTTTATTTCCTAGTACCGTAACAACTCAGTTAACTCTCCCAAGTAGCGCCTCCACTTTGTCTCCATATTTCCACTGTTAACCGCAAAAATTCGCAGAAGTGTCCAAAAGCAGCTGATCTCATTTGTCGCCCCATGTTTTTATGGGGGCCGCTACTTGGGCGAGATAACTGAGTTTCTACGGTACTACTTTCTTAACATACCTGGAACCAGCTGCCTCCCAAGCGTGAAAGGAAAAACCGTTGGCACCACACCCCAGTCTTCCACATTACATGATACTCCTGTTTCTCTGCCGCCCTAGTTTGTCGACCGCGCTTACGGCTATTTACCCAGCCATGCTCCTTCTGACAATGTCCCTGCATTTGATGTAATTGTCGTGTTACATACAAGTATTTTTGGCACGCAAGTCCATCCTTCTTCGGAGGCTCGATGAACGGAATCACTGCAGTATTGGGACCTGGGAGTCTGAAGCTTTTCAAGTCCTCTTGGTACTTCAAGATGCCCGGAACACAAAATACCTGAGACTTTATCTCACGACGCTTCTCCTTTATAAGGCACCGTCGATGTATCCGGTTGCCCAAGTGACTGCATATTTCTTCTGCTAACACGGCAGTCTTGTAATCCATGCAAACGATCAGAGCCCACTCCGGTAAGTGGACGATCTATCATGAGCTTCGGGGTCCGGGCTAGAAAAGACATTTTGACGCACCAAACCTCCACTACAACGATGCACAGAGTAAAAAGTACATCAGATGATAGAAAAAGGTTTGCTGAGTTATATTTCATCAAGAAAATGATTTTTATCTATTCGAGGAGATCTTTATCGGCCATAAAGACGAGGAATGAACTCGGTCACCATCTAGTAATTTCTCTTCCAATTTAATATCGAGCCGATCCCGTAGCTTATGCCATCTATTGCAATCACTTAAAACAACAAAATGTCAGACAATTGGCTCCACAGGGATCAGAGATGGCACCAGTCAATTGATGAGAATTATCTAAAGAACAAACGAAATTCAGCAGCTATGGGTTCGGGCACAGCTATTTAAGCTCATGTCGTTATGATTGGA